TATCCTCCTGTTTTCTTTCCACGGTAACTCTCTTTGATGGTAGAGGCTTTGACTGTTTTTCAGATTCAGTTCTTTTCTCTTTGTCCTGCTCAAGTACTCTCATTGCCATTCGTAACTCATCAAAATCAAGATACTTGTCATGTAAATGGCCTGATATATCTTTTAGACTAGGTTTCATTCCATCCCAGAACATGTTTCTTAACATTTCATTTTCATCACCTTGTTTTACTTGCCCTCGCATGACAGCTTTACTCAATAAATCTTCCAGTCTACATCCCCATGTTGAGATATCCTCACTTTCTCCCTGCTTCGCACTGTAGAAGTTGGCAAGCAATGTTTCCTTTTCCTCAACAATGCCATAAATACTGTCCAGTTTGTTTAAAATTTCCTCCACTGTTGCATTAGGCCCTAGACGCATAAGCACTCTACTTGCTGGAGAACGCAATGATCTCCTGATTGCTAAACAAATAATATTTTCTGAAAAACCATTTGCTTGTAAACACTTTACCTCATATCTCCATTGATCGTATAAAACATCACCCTTTTTGTCACCTGCAAACCCTGATATTTTAGGGACACCACTCAAGGGAATGTGGGTTGAGGAAGTGGTCAGGGTAAGGTCATGGGCAAATGGACCAGGCTTGGGAGGGGTAAGGTCATTGGCAAAGGGGTTAGGACTGGGAGGGACAAGGAATGGGTTAGGACTAGAAGGGGCAAGGTCATGGTCAATACTAGGACTAGCATGAACAGACGGACTGGGTAATTCCTTCTTTAAGGATTCAGCATATTTCAAAACCCAGTTTTTAAATTCTTCAGGAGTACTACCTTCAGGCTTGATGTCTAATGCCTGAAATGTAGACGACAAATCAGACATTTCTGTTTCTGTAAGCTCTGCCATGATGGTAATAAATAATAAATACCAAATCATGCAGATATTTGACTAATCAATGCAAAAATTGCAATTGTATACCATGCAAGTAAAAAAATGACAACTCAAAGAAACCGACGCGCATCTAACTGACAGATGAAACAAATAAACCGACGCGTTGATTGACTGTCAATAAACTCTTGTTTGTTTTAAATTGTTTTAAACAATTTACATTTTGCAATAAACACACACAATGTTACACGATTTTAAACCATGTTTATAATTTTTTTTTTTTAAATGGAAAGTATCAGAAGCTAATGCTGTTAGTACCTTAACACTAAACTAAGTGGACACCATGACAGACAAACTTCTGATCAGATTCTGTATTTCTAATGTTTGAGATCAATGTGAGAACAAATGTGGTTCTGTATTCACTATATAAACTCAAATTCACTGTATACCTAAACTCTCAACTGCACTAATGTATGACAATCACACCTACCCGAATTTCCTCTATACACTATCCAACACAACCTGCTAACTGTAACTGTGTCAGTCCGTTTTCTCTTGTCTGAGTCAAAATATTTTAAATATTTGTTCTAAATAATTGTTATAATAATGAATGAATAATAATATGGAAAAAAAATAAACAATGTGAAACGGCCGAAAAATCTGTCTGTGTTTTCAACAACACGTGTTTTCAAACTCTGAACTCTTTAACTGGCCAGGCAATATTGTATCAAAAGTAAATATTCTCTGCACTTAATATAGTATCTTGTTGAATAAATAAGTAAACAACCACTAAATATAATGTTAATCAAATAAATTTACTTTAATCCAGCGTTGTTATGGTCTGTGGCCTCCACGTGAATGTCAATAGAGAAAATTCGAATGAATTACTCACAGTCACTGATCAGTGTCACAAAAGCGCTTGGTTGATCGGATATTTCCGGAATTAGGCCTACCAGTCTAGTTGCTCATCTATGGAATGGATTTTACGTTGGGCGCCATTTTGTAGCGGGTATTTCCGGCAATGATGGAAAACACACTTGTAGCTTTTTAAATTTTACATTTTATTATGGTGACATGTCTAGTTGATGATAAATGGATAATGGAAAATGGACTAATGGAATATATGGAATAATGGAAAATGGATATGTCCTGCAATATACAAATTGCGTCATAAAAATATGTATAAACAATATATCAATTATCTAATATTCTGATCATAAAAATATAACAAATTATCTGTCTTCCCTTTAACAATTATTTATCATATTTATCAATTTAACTCGATATGTTCTATATAAGGGAGTTAACTCTTACAACATAATTACTCTTAACAGTCATGTGAAGAGTTATCTTTCTTTTATCTTTCTGTACAAATCATAAAAAATATATATACAGATAGACATACCAATTTATGGAACTGAACTTTCTCCAAAGCAATAATTTAATTCTTTACTTATGGTGCTACATTTTCAGGAACTGTCTTAGGTCTTTGAATAAATAAAGTCAGCAGCGTATATAAATTATGTCTTATCCATTCTAAATCTTGAGCTAATTCTGAATAAAACTCAGTACCCCACGAAGACTAAACTTACAACCAATGAAATCTAACCATTTCAAAATCTGACCAATAGATGTGCGTGTGGTCATGTAAAAGTATATGTACAGGTGTGGATCCAAATGGGTGTATAACTATGTCACTAAATACCCATGTTAGTAAAGAATGAACAGAATGAAACTTTAATAGAAAACTTATCATTTATGCATTTATAACATATTTAATAGTTTATTTAATTTATTTAATTTATATCTAATATTTATTTTATTTCATTTAAAATCATTTCAACTTTTATAATTCTTAATAAAAGTACCTCTACTACACAGGGACCTATATACTAATTAGTATATAGGTCCCTGATTTTTGGATATATTTTTTTTAACAAACATTGTACATTTTAGAATTAAACCATCTCATATTATGATATGAAGGAAAAGACTATTATAGTATTATTATCATTTGCTTTGAATTGCCAAAATAAAGCAATTCTCAGTATATTCCTGATTGGACAGATACCAGTATTTTGAGATAGTCCCTATGATATACCCAGACGGGGATATTTTTCATCTGCGTAGAAGTGAATGTTACAAATAGTTTTTTTTACTATTATAAATTTTTACACATGGCAAAGCATGTAATTTGATAATGAGCATTGAATATTCAGCTACGAATTTGCGTCTGTAAACCTGTTCATTTTTATTCAGCCAGGTAATATTTTTATTTTAAAATAGAACTATTTTAAAGGAAGTTCCATTTAGTAAGGACCAAGAGAGTATGTCATGTACATTTGAAAGCTTTAGAACTAAATAATGTATAAAATGAGAATCAGTAGCCCTTTTCACAAAAAATCTTACGACTAAGATTAAAATTTTCCAATTCTTCTATATGTACCTAAATTGAAGTATGTTACAAAAAATCTTATATTTCTATTACATTACAGTATATTGAGAATTATTCTTCTGAAAAAATAATTTTCTTTATTAAACAAAGAAATTACAGAGTTGTAAAATTTTAATCTTACTCGTAAGAATTTTTGTGAAAAAGGCTACAGGTATAAGTGATGTGTGCAGAGTTTAACAAATTGAACACACCCAGTGGTACGTAAACTGTTTTGTAAACAGGGCACGAGCTCTGTTATTGTTAATGTTTACTTTTCACGGGGTGTGTTCAATTTGTTAAACTCTGCACACATCACTGAGCACAGACTGACAATACTGGTGAGTTGGTTTTGCTTTCTCACATTTCTACTCTGAATTTTCTGGATTATATCTTTAATTTTTTTCATTAATATACAACAAAATTTCTACTTTTCTTAGGCCAGGTAAAATTAATCTTTAGATTCTCATCCCCGCCCGCCCCTCTCAAAGTGCCCCGCCCCGTTGTTTTTTATTTTGCTTTTTGGGTGCCAAACGTATTATTTTCATGTATTTTTATTCAGCAAGAATCTGGGTCAAAATTTAAGAGTTATCTCCCGTCTGTATTAAAAGTCGCGTGGTGCTATTTATAGCAAAAAAACTATGTGAAGAATGGCGAAAAATCGGCAATAAAAGCAGTTTAAATATGTAAGGAAAAGATAATTTGTTAGTAAAGAGAAGGCAGAAAAGCAAAAATAACATATAAACACTTCAACATACCATCACTGGCATGGGCAAGTTTTTAAAGAGATTTTAATCAAGTAAAAACAGACGAAGAAAATACACATGGTCAAGTTTTAAATAACGATCTCCAGATGTATGTGATTTTGCATTAAAAAAATAAAACATCGTCCAAAGACTTTAGAGAATAATAGTGCTAAGGAAATGTTAAATCTTAAAACTGTTCAGGCCTAGGCTTTTCAGTAGAATATTTTACAGATTTACACATTCCTGTTTTGCAAATATGATGTATTTTAATGTCGAACATGTCAAGTCTCAAGAACGATTGAATGTATCAGGATAGTGTAAATCTGTGATATCTGTATATCACACAGAACAGGAGTTGTTGGTAAAACTATAAGGTATCTGGGAAAATGCCGATGAGAAAACATGCATATGCAATTTATTAGGATCAGCACCTCATTTTGTTTGGCGTGTGCCGTATCCGTGTACTTGATAATTTGTTAATAAAACTAACGTTATATATATTTTTAATTTTCTATAACAAGAATCTTCTGTAGATATTTAAAAGAATATGAAAACAATAAAATCTATTCATATTGGCATTAACATACTGTAAAATTTACGTGTACGAATGTTTTGTTGATACTTTCAATTAAAAAATAAAAAATAAAATCCGCCCACCCGCCCCAATTTTTTAGCAAATTAGGATGAGAATCTAAATTTTAAATTTATATGGCCTTAAGTATTAAAGATAAAGTTTACTTTGTAAAAGTGCAAGGATCAAATGTGTCCTGAAATTCGTAGTTTCAATAATTTCAAGATAAAATATTTTTTTTTCATATATTACTGTGGGAAATGCTATAGCAACATAAAAGTCATGATATTATTCAGAAAATTTGAGAAAATATTAACTTCAGATCTGTGTCTATGTCCTTTAAAACTAAAATAATATGCATAATTATTGTAGATAACTGAGCAGTATTGAGAAATGAACCAAGGTGGTCCTGTTTCTAAAGTTGAGTTGAGAGTGGAATGTACTGGACTGAAGAAAAAGGATGAGTTCTCTAAATCTGATCCTTGTGCTGTTTTGTACATGCAGCCCAGGGAAAGTAACTCATGGCAAGAGGTAGAGTATTTCAAAAACATATTGTAAGGAAATATGTTTATGCTAAGGACACAGGCTGGGCATTTATAAAATTTATCAGATTTACCTCTATAAATGACATATATTCAGTTTTCAACATAAAACAAATGGGTGGTGAAGGTTGGCCAGTAAGATGAGGGTGGGGCTTAAGATATGTTTTTAAATCTTGTATAGATCTACATGCACAGTAAAACTCTCTTATAATGAACACATTTCAGAAAAGATTATACCGAGTTATAATTAATTAAAGAAAGGATACTATTGAACATGAGCATTGTGGCCAACAGCCTTTTAGGCTCACCTTGATGAAGTTGAGATGAGCTTATGCTATACCGTCGGCATCGATGTTGGTGTTAGCTATGGCATCCCAGTTTAACTTTTAGGAGCAAGTCCTTTCCCAAGTTACTATAAGCCCTACCTGGACCAAACTTGCATAGATGATGCATGTAACAATGGACACTACCTGATTTGTTTCAGATGCAGGATCGGACCTACATTTTCCAGATGAGTGACCATATTTAAGTTTTTGGAGCAGGTCCAATCCCAAGGAACTGTAAGCCCTACTGGACCAAACTTGCATGAGTAATGCATCTAGGGATGTCTAGGGATGGACACTGCCAGACCTGTGTGTTTTGGATGCTGTATCTGACCTACATTTTCCAGATGAGTGATCAGATTAAAGTTTTTAGAGCAGGTTCATTCCCAAGTAACTATATAAGCCCAACCTGGACCAAACTTTCATTGATGATGCATCTAGGGATGGGCAGTACCAGATTGCTTTGGATGCTGTATCTGACCTAGAATTTCCAGATGAGTGACCAGATTAAAGTTTTTGGAGTAGGTCCATTCTGAAGTAACTATAAGTCCTACCTGGACCAAGCTTGTGTGGATGATGCATCCTAAGGATGGATACGTTAAAACTTACTTCGGATGCTGGATCTGACCTACATTTTCCAGTTGAGTTACCATGTTAAAGTTTTTGGAGCAGGTCCATTTCCAAGGAACCATAAGCCCTACCTGGACCAAACCTGCATGGATGATGCATTTAAAGATGGACACTACCAGACTTGCTTTGGATGCTGAATCTGAATCTTGCATTTTTCAGATGAATGACCAGGTTAAGGTCTTTGATGCAAGTCCATTCCCAAGGAACTATAGGCCCTACCTGGACCAAACTTGCATAGATGATGCATTTAATGATGGACACTACCTAACCTGCTTCAGATGCTGGCTCTGACCTTTAATTTCCTGATGATTGAATATTAGCCCTACCAGAACCAAACTAGCATGGATGATGTATCTAGGGATGGACACTAAAAGACTTGCTTCAGACGCTGGATCTGACCCACATTTTCCAGATAAGTGACCTGGGTAATATTTTTGGAATAGGTATATAATAGGCCTGAGTATTGCAAGGTACCTAATGATACAATACACATCAGGATACGGTCATGCAATACAACATGTATCATGATACAGCTGTCAACAATTGAATTAACCGTTATCTTAACATATTATTCTTTGCTAACCTCCACAGTTATAGAAAATGTAAAAAGAATATCTTGATACCCCTGACCAAAGATAATAATTCTTGACATTGTATTTTTTTTTTTTTGCTACCTTTTTTTCAGCCATTTTAAAACATTAAAATTTGTTAGGTTGTATGTAGAAGTTCCAAACAAAATAATGAAAATTATCTTGTACTGTATCACGATACATGCATGGCGATATGATACGCGTATCGTGAACCCTTGCGATCAATACGATCAATGTATTGCTGTATCATTACACCTCTAGTATATAACTATATGGCCTGTTATGATTAAACTTGCATGGATGATGCATCTATGGATGCACGTTATCAGACTTGCTTCGAATGCTTTAACTGACCTACATTTTCTGGATGAGTGATCAGGTTTAAGTTTTTGAAGCAGGTCTATTCCCAAGGAACTAGAAATCTTTCTTAAACCAAACTTGCATAGATATTAATCTCGGGATGCACACTAACTAGGAAAAGTATGGTGTGAGATTTGCCTTACTTATAGATATAAACATTTGAGGTGAGCTTTGTAATCTTTAATTACCTATGTTTAAAACTTGTATTTAGATTGGAAGAACAGAGCATATCAAAAATTGCCATGATCCCAAATTTGCTACGCCTTTCACTGTGGAATACTTTTTTGAAGAAATTCAGAAAGTAAAAATAGAAGTTTACGATTTAGACAATGCAACCAGTGAGCTGACTGATGATGACTTTCTAGGAAAAGTGGAGTGTAACCTGGCACAGGTACTATTGTCAGGCAGAGTATTTAAATGATATTTGGTGTACAAGACTTTTAAAAATTGTAAGAACATAAGAATACAAGTATACATTTTTAATATACATGTATATACAATAATGTATTTTTATTAATCATATCTCATAAGGCAAATGCCATATTTTGAAATTTTTAAACATTCTTGTTCTATAATTATGCTTCGATACTAATACATTGAATGATATTTCTTTGAATTCAATGGTGCTGTAAAATTTACAGGTTTGCATACTAATTCAGTAACATACATTCATTGACCGGGTTCAAGGACAACATGGGTTTTATTGGACCCAAGAATCAAACTGTTGTTTGCCTGAGTCTATTAGGCCAAAGGCAAACAGTTTGGTTTGAGGGGTCGGCAATATACAGTTAATTGTTGACTGGGGTTGAGGGCAGTAGTTGATCTGTTGGACCAGTGTGGAAAGTGTTGCCCAAGACTGAAGGTTGGGGGCAACAGTTTGCACACCGGTCCGACAGATCAGCCGTTGCTTGAGACCCCTGTCAGCAATTGTTTTGTCAAACCCATATAATAAAAACTTTAAATTAGAATTTGTTACTGTAATAAATAATGATTTTTAAAATTTGTACCATTGCAACAAAGAAAACATCATTTGTGGTCTAAAACCCTGCATCATTTACCATATATTATTGACAACATCATGTACTTTTCCAAATAATTATGTTCCCCAAACGAAGTTTGGGAACATATTGTTTTTACTCTGTTTCTTATTATTATTATTATTATTATTATTATTCTTCTTTTTTTCTACTTTCTTCTCCGGTACTTTTTTGTCCGCGAGTGTTCTCATAGAACCACTCATCCGATTGACATGAAACCTTTTTAGGGTTAATAGGCATGTTGTGTAGGTGTTCGGAACGAAAGTCATTTTGCGCGCACATGCATGCACGTGCGCGCGCGTGCAATGAGTGAAATGACTGATATACTTGATGAAGCCGTAACTTTGATATTTCTTGATGAATTGCTTTGAAACTCAAAATATAAAGATACATTAGTAGGCTAGACAAGATAACATGGTCAAATTAGCATGAACTCACGCGCATGCACGTGCGCTCTTCTCTGATTGGCTGATACAAAAATCTCAATAATTTCCTTGTTTTTTGACAAAATACTTTGAAATTTAGAATATAAGTATATATTATAAGGTGCTACAACATGTTATATAGGAAATTTCTTGAAAACATGCGCATGCAGGTGTGCTGCAATCTGATTGGTTGAAACTTTAAATGTCTATAACTCCCTTGGTTTTCAACAAAACAGGATGAAATTTATGACATGGATAGGCACATAGAGCTCCTACATTATAATACTATCAAAATTGAATGCAAGGACCTGCATGTGCATATGCTGAATTCTGATTGGCTAATACTTAAAGGGTTACATCTCTCTTATTTTTCAATGAAATTCTTTAATATTTAACACAACTGTATGTATTGTGAGACACTATAAGAAAATTAAAGTGAAAAATGTAGAAAACATGTGCAAGCACATGCGCTGAAATTTGATTGGCTAATACCCATATGGCTATATCGGAGTAGTTTTCCAATGAAATACCCTTAAAAATAAAGTGTCCATCTATATTACAAAAGTATTCTCAAATTTATTTAAGCTTGTAGAAAATGGGCCATCATAAGGGATTTGGGGAGCCGTTTGGGGAACATCTGTAACGGTTCCCGTTACAATTAGCAGTAGTTTAGATTGGTATTCCATATCATAGATTTTTAAGCATACATGTATATACTTCTGCGTGTATCTTATTCTCAAGCTGATAGCAGACTTTTTATGCATTTCAATCACCTCACTGCATGATTTTTTCACAGATAAGAAATGGATAGACTGGCACAGGTTAGTAAACAATCACTGAGAGTGTTTTATTCAGTTTTCACACCAGTTTTTAACATTTTTGTAGTCGCTTTTTATCTAAAATGGCCTAAATTTCCTCCTCCTATGCAGCTGCGAAGCATACATTGACAATTTTTTTTTTAAACCAAATGACGTACATTATAACCTGTTTAAGTGCCATATGACATCACATCAGTCAACGTCTTTTTGTACAGTTGATTTAACAGTTCCACTCCAACAGTTGCCAGAAAAGTCAAAATGATAGACCCTTTTTCATATAGAGTTACATGGGAACTGTTATATAGAACAAAATGCATTTTGCCCGAGAACACAGTCAGTAAATAATATACCTTTTACTTGTTATTTTGATGTATCTTGCGCAGACTTCCATGATGTAATTTTCCTTTATTCACACTCCAGATTTAACTTCGTCAATTCGGTAATTGTCAAACATCAACAAAGAATGTAAATATGACTGATCCCGCCTACAGTGTAATGTAAAAAAAAACATCATTTAGAGCATTTCAATATCTCAGCAACAGGTCCAACATCTCACCAGCAGTCCAACATCCATTTTTTGTTTGGACTGCTCCGTAAAACATTGGACTAATTTTAGTGTAGATATATATAGGAAACAAATTGAAAGGTATATAACAATGCTTGAAATGTATATTCTTGTAAATTACTGTATATGAAGTGCAAATCTATGTTCCTCATTTGTGTCCCTTATGAACCATATGCAATTCATGTGTCAATAAAATGCAATGTTAAGGTCACATGATGTCAAGTAAAACTGCTAAGACAACAGAAAATGATGAGGACTGATTTAAGCTACTATATATTTGACCTTGTGATTGTGTTTTTTTTTTTCAGATTGTTTCACGCAATCCTTTCTCTTCTGCTCTTCAAAAGAATGATGGAACACCAGCAGAGGGCTCCCTGATCTCTGTTAGTTTCATTGTGAATTAACTTAATACCTGGTGAACATTTCAAGACAATAAAAAAAACCCTTTCACTCATTGTTATATAAATGTACCCTTCTGACTACAATGTGATGGGTTTTATTTTTCTAAGGTTTAATGTCTGTTCAAGTGTCTGCCCTTTGTTTTGCTCATAGCATTAAACTTGATCATAGCTATACATGTATAAGAATGAATTTTTAAGAAAGAAGTTGAATTATTTTATGTCAATACTATAGTATCAGATTTGAATTACAAGAACTAGTATATATCAGTGATTAATATTTCCCAACATCTATATGGTAGACTTCTCCATTCAAGTCCAGTTTCTACATTTCTGCTAGTACCTAGTATATGATGTAAACTTTTAATTTTATATTTCGTTAGATCAGATCTGAGGAAGTAAGGGAGGGAGGAGAACATGTGTTCCTCCACATTGGGGCCACTAAAGTAGACAATAAGGTAACCCATCATGTTAAAATTACACCGTATTGATCAATAGATCTCATTCCAGAAAACTGAACTAAAGGGATCGTCAAATTTTCTTTGCTTTGATTAATTAAGTATTGTGGAGTCATCATTGTTCATGGAGGATCAATGGATGGTTCTTATTGTGCATGTATATTTTTAGTAATCCAAGTTTAAAATATTGCCCAGCATTTCTTAATTTCAGACATCGTAAGCAAATTATTTGGTATCTTAATCTTTAATAAACAATTTCATTATTTTTCAGGACTTTCTGGGTAAATCAGACCCTTTCTTAGAGATTTCCAGACAAGTATCAGATGGAAGTTGGCAAGTGATACACAGAACTGAAGTGAGTTTATGTACATATACATTGTAGTACATACATGTATATATATGTACTGGCACATTTTGTAATATGAATCATGAAAATTCAGGTTTTTCAATGTTAAGAATTTCATCATGCATACATTGCTTCATATACTTTCCTTTACATTACATGCAAAAATTCTAAAATTTGATAAATCTCAGCATCATTCATAATGATACCCACAATTGTTCAAGCGTATTCAGTAGAAGGCAGGGGGATCTGGGGGTTGCATTGAAGCCTCCAGTGGGTTTAGGGCAAAGCCTTCTAGGGGGTTTCTGGGGGCTTGACAAATTCTTACAAATAAGAGATGCTTTTCCTTGATTTTAGGATAAAGAACATATAAGTTCTACATACAAAAAATTCAAATGGGGGGTGGGGGGGGGGCATGCCCAGCTTGCCAGCCCTGGATCCGCCTTTGAACTCCTCCAATACCACTGAATAAAATTAAATGATACTTTCGCAGAATCTTTGTAACATAGTGCCATTGTGCACCTCTTACTTTATATTTTGATTGGGCAGATATTTGGGCTCTCTAATAGCCAAAATATGGACTTCGCCATTTATATATACTCATATGGAAGCAGGGGGTATCATTTTGTGAGCTTGCTGCTCACAGTACCTCTAGTTTATACTGTAAATGTCCATTACCTGATTTTAATTTATCCCAGAATTCCTTTTATTTTAGTCATTTACATATGTTATTTTCCAAATGTAATAAAGGTTTGCAAAGACACACTAAATCCAGTGTGGAGGCCATTTGAGCTGGCAGTACATGCTTTGTGTGGTGGCAACAAAACACAGCAGATACAGGTATGTTGGTAATGATGAATAATGGTAAATTAATGCATTGATATCTTAGACACTTTTATAATTATGACAGTGAATATTAAATGTAATGTAAGAGCAGTATGATGTTTTGTTTATCAGTTCAGCTGCAGTGATTATGATAGCGATGGATCCCATGATCTGATTGGTTCATTTACAACTACTATTACAGAACTAGAGCAAGCAGCAGGAAGTGGAAAAGAGGTACAGATGAGCTTAATTCATTTTTTAAAAGGGTATACTTTGAATAAAGCCCAATTAAACCCCTCGGATATCAAAATCCAAAAATGTAGACTGATAATAAATATAACCAAATAAATGTAGCATCATACTTGTATACTGTATATAGGTCATGCATAATGTCTCTTTAAATGCATATACCAGTACATGTACCCAATCAACCATACTTTGGACAGTAGTTTTAAAGGTACAGTATAAGACTATTTTTACAGTACTTTGCCATTGGATTTTTGTGTGCTGGATTTTTTTCATTTTAGCTACAATATCCATTCATAAACCCCAAGAAAAAATATAAGAAGGACAAAAAAAATTCTGGTGTGGCGCATATAACACAGATCAAGGTAAGTTGTTGTCTAAGTAACATTTACAATTGTATTTCCTTTGTTGATATTTTCATATCAAATATTGATTGTCGAAGCATATTGATAAAAATATGGTACTACAGACTATGCCTCATATGATTATGTTTACATCCCCTACGTATTTTTCTTAATATGAAGTCTGTGCAATTAAGCTACGGCATTCAAAACACCATTACACCATAACATAAGAATGGATGGGGCGGTCAAAAGGTCAAAGTTTGATTTTTATGTTGAGGTCACAAATGTTGTTTGTTTAACGTCAGAAACGAAAATCAAAATTGCTCACAATGAACAGTCTGACAATAGCAGCTGTTGTAATGGCTCTTCCATTAATTGTAACTTACACAGGGATAATACAAGGATTTTGAATATAAATCGAATTTGCAGACAAGGCAGGGAGTTAAAGAATGTAAATATAAGCACCGAATTCTTATATTTTGAAAAATGTAGTCTCATAACTGCAACAGTGTGTGCGAACAGTTTCACAACATGCTAACGCACGTTACTCAAATGGTTTGCAAACACCATTGCAGTTATGAGACTACATCTTTCAAAATATAATAATTCAAATAAATGCTTATTTGAACCAAATCCCTAGAGGTTCAGTATTTTGGAGTATCACAATACGGTTCTCTGTGAGATTCAATGCATACATTTTATGAAACCTTTTGATGGCTCATTTTTCTCGTCAATAGTTTTTCAGAATGCCAAACTTTCTGGAGTTTATTTATGGTGGAATGCAGATTAATTTTACAGTAAGAATGGGTATTCTATAAATTTTCTGTAAAATTTCTCAATCAAGATAAAATAAAAAAACTTGAAGCACCTGTAGCCCTTTCAAAAAAATCTTTTAATTAATGGTAATTCACGATGCTTAGTCAAATATCATGGGCCTCTTCGTAATTGTTTGTAATGAGGTCAAATTTTAAAACCTTAAAAATGTCATGCTAGCTGTTACATTTTTACCTGGGTACATTTTATTTTCATTCCAGATAAATTGGCCTTCTTCTAATTTGTAGGTGGGTGTGGATTTCACAGGATCTAATGGAGATCCCAATCAACCAGACTCCCTTCACTTTGTTGATATGGCTGGCAATCCCAACCAATACATGCAAGCCATTATGGCCGTGGGATCTGTGTGTCAGGAGTATGACACGTGAGTTAATTCTTAAAACAATTTTGATTTTACATTTGGTCTTTTGCATGCTATGTTTCAAATTCATTGTATATCCTATTCTTATTTCATTTAAATGTGGTACATACATATGTACTTTCTTGTTTTATTTGTATTAAGCATGCAAGTTTTTTTTTTTTTTTTTGCAGTTTTTATTTCACAAGTTCATTCTAGTAAGAAAGAAAATTACCATGATATTGCATAAAAATCTCAAAAAAATGTTTTCATTGAAAGCACAGCTTTTAAGATAAATGTAGATAATATTTTAATTATTTAGGGACAAGTTATTCCCAGCTCTTGGCTTTGGGGCAAAGCTTCCAGATGGGACAGTTTCAATGGAGTTTGCTCTGAATTTCAATCCCACAAATCCCTACTGTGCAGGCAAGTGTAACAATAAAATGTAATATTTAGATTCAGTAATTCTCAAGAAAACAAGCATGAAGTTATGAACCATGCGTTTAATGTTCCTAGGACAATAATCAATGTAAGATTAACATGAAAGTATTGAATTTTAATCTTTTTAGGAATAAATGGTGTAATTGAAGCTTATAGAAATGCAATCCAGAATGTTCAATTGTGGGGTCCCACCAATGTGGCTCCTATTATATACCACGTGGCCAGATTTGCTGCGCAGGCCCAGAAGGAGGAAGCAGACAAAGGGGCACATGTTTGTATTTCATGCTTTAAAGTTAAAAAAAATATGTGTATGATATAAATCTTAAGTTTATTTATTTTATGAGATTTTTTGCAAACCTTAGGAATGAAGATTTTTAAAGTGAACCCAAGTAGGGGAGGCTGGCACTGGTGCTTGGCAGCTTCTGAAAGGTTGTCATTCCCTTGTCATTTATAAGCATATTAATGTGGAAAAATGCCTCTTTTAAACAACTTTGATTCTTTTGGAATACTTTTAAGATTAACATTACTAATTAATATGAATACAACAAAAATTAAATGCATATGCTTAGAATTTTGTTCTCGGTTTGTTAAAGCAATTAATTGGACAGCAAAATATGTGTTTGTTGTAGTGTTGTATGCAGTGAGCAGTGCTGATATGAAAAGCACATTATATTTGTTGTAGAAAAATCACATTTTTTCCTATGAAATATAGAAATTTTTTCTGTGGGTTCTGGTATGAAATAACACATGTTTCTGTTGATTTGTTTAGTTGCTAACTGACTGATACCAATGGCATTTGCCTTGTACAAATTAAAGGCTGTTAAATTCAAGAGAGTCAGCATTTTAATGATTAAAATTTTACATGTGTACATTTAAATCTGAGAAGACTTTATTTTCTACTTTCAGTAATTATAATTTCCAAAACCAGGATAATCTTGTTCTTACACACAGGAGCATTTTTTCTTAAACTATTTAATTTTTTAATTTCATTTTTTGTTGTTGGGGGTTTGGAAAAACATTTGATTTATCTGAATATGCTTTTGAAAAAATAAAAAAATAATTTTGCAGGCCTACTATGTGTTGCTCCTATTAACTGATGGCATTATAACAGACATGGATCAGACCAGAGATGCTATCGTCTATGCCTCAGGGTTACCCATGTCCCTCATCATTGTGGGGGTAGGAGGTGCTGACTTTTCTGACATGAATTTTCTGGATGGGGATGGTGGGGTTCTGAAGGCAACTAATGGCAGACCAGCGGAGAGAGACATTGTCCAATTTGTTCCATTTAGAGATTTTCAAAAATATGGTGTAAGTTTATTCAATATATTTGCAGTCCAGTTTTTAGCTCATCTGAGCCAAAGTCTGTAGTAGGCTTTTCTGATTAAAAAGTGTCCAGCCTCCACCTCTCCTTCTCTCTGTTACATGTATCTGTACACTTTTCAATTTTTTCAACTTTTTCTCCAGAACTATTGGGCCAAATTCAGCTAAACTTAATTGGCACAAAGCTTCCTTGAGAGAAGGATCAGATTCAAGTTGGTAAAATGAAGAACAATGTCCTTTCTAAATGAAAGATAATTAAGAAACAGTGAAAATTTGGTGGCATCATTTAAGAATCTTCCCCAGAAAAGATGAGCTTTCTTATGTATGGTGATGATTTAATTATTTAAAGAAAAAAATGTTTAAAAATCATCTTGTCAAGAACTAGTCTTATTTATATGCAAACATTGTGGATCATAGTTCTACATTGGAATAAGAAATGTTTAAAAAAAAATATTAAAATCAAATATAGCAGGATCACAATAAATCATTTTAATATGCAGACACTCCAAAGTTTTTTGCATGTACATAATTCAGGAATATAGCTTTAGACAAACACCTCTAAATATCATCTTATCTAGAAGCAAGGCCATTGTAGTCATATTGATATTGAGGCACTCCTTTATTGTGTGGATTCAAGTTCATTTTTTAATTCTTGACCCCATGGGGTGAAGACTGGGGCCAAAATATGGGGTCAGAATTTCAAAAGGGAACAGAAAGGGAAAAAATATGTTAAAAACATCCAATTGAAGAATAGCAGGGTCTAGGTGACACAGGTGAATGTTGTGGCCCATGGCCTTTTTTTTTGTTTTTTTTTTAATATCAGTTCTTTACATTTTGCTTGCACTTTGACTTGGAAGAGGACTTGAAATAGCTTTTTAAAAGCCATTTTATAATTCATCTTGTATGTGATCATTATGTCCATGTACATAAACAAAGGATTTTTCTTCAGGAATGAAATTAAAATGTTTAAAATTTGGTTGACTATTTAAAACAATTTTTTAAAGCTATATATATATGGCATATCTGAGCTAAAAAAAATAAAAATATGATGTTGAATGTAGATAAATTTGATATATGTTAATAACGTTCAAATTAAAATTTTCACCGATTTTGAACTTGAAGTACCTCATATTTACATAGATAAATTGACTTTAATCTGTGTTTTTGCAGTCTAGTGGTGCTGATTTGGCAAAGCAAGTGTTGGCAGAGGTCCCACAACAAGTGGTGAAGTACTACACAATGAGAAACATCAGCCCGAACCAACGACCAGCTTAGACAGAAAGTGGTTCTAAATACAGTATTCAACTACGCCATCAATTAAGAGAGCATGAGCAATAATCAAATATAGGATGATTAATAGCTAATTCCCTTAGTAAAAATCTGTATAAATCTTCCTAGATATATATGTACAGTGGCGTAGCTTCCATTGAAGCACAGAAGCACGTGCTTCCACATCGTTTGATTGAATTGAAACTTCCAAAGCATATGATAAAAGATAATACATATTTAGTATAAATTTTATAACATTAATTATGTAACATGCAAACAGGCTTATAGCAAGGCTTGTCATAAGGATAGGGGAGCTCCTGCTGTCTTTTGTAAGATTTTTTTCCTCGCTGAAAACGCATTTCTGACAATATCTTATGAACAATAACTACAAAAAATACTTTTATAAAATTTTGAATAACAATTATTACATCTAATGGTTTATAAAGTTATAAATTTATTTAAAATTGAAGGATAATATAAGCAACTTTAAAATATTGTCTATCGTCTAAAATGCACCACAGCAGCTTCCAGGGACTTTGCACCCTAAGTCCTACCAGGGCTTTTTCTTGGTCTCATCGGGGCCTCATGCTGGCTCCAAACCCCTTGTGGTTTTATGCTTCCACATTGATCGACCCTAAGCTACGCCACTGATGTATAATAAATTTAGGGTACCTAGCTGGGGGTAACTGATGGATATTTTAAATTCTGTTGATGACCAAAAAAAAAAAAAAATTAAAAAAATTAGTGGAATAATAAATGTACTATAACTTTTATACAGTAGAAGATTTTTATGATTGTCAATGAATATTATGCAGTTATATTGAAACTTTTTTTGGAATATGTTCATGTATGTATTTAAAATAATTATGTGCAATTTGTATTTTGAATCTGCTGTGCAATTAACTGTTTTGAAATATACCAGTGGCTATTTTAAAGTACTTTTCAAATAAATTATATATACCGGTATATACATGTATATATTTTTTTTTTGTGGTAGATTTTATATCATTTCATCTATTCAGATAAGTATTAAATTCATACATTTCCAAATGTTGAAGATCAATTTTTAGCTACCTAAGATAAATGCTCACCTGGCCTTTTCCTTTTTGAAATCTTGGAATGGCTATAGAATTTACATATTTGTAAGAGAAAGTGACTCAGATCAGCATTTTGGCTCATATCCTTGTTAAGTGTTGCACAATGCATACTTTATGAAGTGCCATTAAAGAGGTATTTGAAGTGATTTTTGCAGAAATATTCACCTGCATGAGATTCAAATTTGTTTGTATCCATAATGTACCTCATTTTATGAGGACATTTATGTGGAAAGTATCTGATATGGCCATCTTTACTTATTAATGTTAGTTTAGAATGTAACTGTTTTGTTTTTCATGTTACATGTAGAGATTATTTGAATGTATTTTTTTAGAGGTATGTGTAAATGCTAAAATGATAATGTCATGTTTTCATGCAGGTAGAAAAAAAAACTAAGATATAAAACTTCAGATACAACACAAATTATATATACCTCTCAATATCTTGCATAATCTATGCAATTTTTTTTAATCTATCAGTTTTACATGTACATATACAGGTACTTTAATTACTGTTAACAGCTTAATTTTATGTCATTGTGATGATTTTTTCCCTCTACTTCTTTTTATTAACCAATCTCAGGACTTGCATGTATAACATATCCACTATAAATTAATTTATACCTGTACATGTTATATTCTATCCATGAAATAAGTTTTTCTTTTTCTTTAAAAAATCCTTATGCCATGTTTAATTTATTCAAGTAAAAAGACATTTATGTAGAAGAAAATTACATAGACATTACTTTGCTTCCAGACTGATATATAATATTATCATGACTCTTCTTCCATGAGGAGATATAATAGTTTTATTTAGTTATCTGTCATAGTACTGATAGTCATATTGGGTCAAGGTTATATCTCAAAGGTCAAGGCCACTGGGCAATCATTCTTTAGGCCATAATGGAGAATTCAATTAATATGAACTTGACTTTTGAATCAATATTGTGACACACCTTCCAGTCATGAGCAATTACATGACTACCGGTACATTTAATCAAGTTTGACTTCATTCCAATTGTATGGCTGAAACAGGATTTAAAAAAAAAAAAAAAAAAAAAAAAAAAAAAAAAAAATTTGAGTGTTAAAAATCTGCTTGAATTGAATGCAAAAGTGACAGTGACTGCTTGAGACTTAAGTTGCCACAAAATCATCTTTGGAACAGTTGATAACCCTACATTAATATGTTGTACAGTAAAACATGCTTATAGCAAACATGATTATTATAAATTAATGCTTACAGTGAAGTGATTTTCATTCCCTGTGGATTTATAAAGTTTTATATGAAAACGGATACTAGTATTTATAAAAAAGCAAAGTTGTCTGTCCCTGGCACTCCAGTATGTGTTTTACTGCACAATGTAAACCTAAAGGAATATGTTTTATACTGACTCAACCAACATGTATAGAATACAAGAATGGTTATTAAAGAGTTTAAGAACTTGAAACTGGCAACATCATATCGATCCATTTATTTATTATTTCACTGAAAGGGTGGCATTGTGTGTGTGTATGTCAGAGTGTAAAAATGGTGTTTCTCTGAGTGCTGTCACTCATTCACTGTTTTTTATGTCGGCCCAAAGAGGAGTTAAAACGCGTTAATTTTATCTGCAAGTTTTGGAAGTGATAATTTCATTTCAAAGGCATGTTCATAAGAGAGACTGAGAGAGAGAAACTATTGCGCAATACCGCTAGGACACGCCCCCTTGTCATTTGTTTACGTCTCGACAAGACCGCTTATGCATTACAGAAGAAGAAGGGAACGGTGTAACGAAATCCACACAATTAAACAGGTATTGATATACGATCTTGTAACAATTATTGCAGTGTATTGTATATAATATACATATTCTTAAATGGTAAAATTCCATCATATTGATTCTGAACGATTTTTTAATTTGATATCGATTTAATGTTCGAATTTCCTCTGCTTGATTATTATATATATACAGAAAATTCATGATTGGAACAACTTTTGACAGGTCGAACCGTCCAGCACAATCTCTTGATTTAGCTACATAGTTTGAATAAGCAATATAGCTATTTCAATACAGTTTTTTTTTTCGCAAATACTTTTAAATAAGAAATAAAGAAATTAATACAAGTATTTGACTACTCATATTTCTACAAATTAATAGACCATAAAAATTGCAATCAGTATTTAACTTTGTTGAAGCATTGCTGCTTTTGAAAGATATAACTCTGTTTGTTGATAATTAAATGTATTCCACCTTGTGTGCGGTAAGGTATGGCAACCCAGTAGGTATCACTATGATTGCTTCACAATTATTACCAATCTGTTAATTATCTTCTTGATCACAATTGACCTCCTTATAATTTGAATTCATAATAAGTAGTAAATGTATGGACACAAATCAATTATAGCCCCAAAACTTTTAGGGCTTTCAGTATAAAGTTCTAGATGCATCTAAGTGGGACTTTTTTTCATTCTGAAAAAATAATATTTTTAAGAAAGAAGTATGATAAAATAGCTAAATCAAGCTATTTTGAATTGGCTAAATCAAGAGATCGTCTTGGACCTGTTTGATGCAGCAAATGCAAAAAAAAAATATTCCTGTTAGTGATTTAAAATATAATATTTATTAAGCATTTCACAAGCTCATGAAAAAAATTTTTTTTTTAAAAAAACTGTGAATTAGATTCAATGTTATTTGGTATTATTTTTTCAGTTTTAATTAATTTGCATATATATTAATTTATTGGCTGTTGTTCAAAGACTATTAAAAAGCATTTTCCTTGGCAGGTACATATACATGGTATAGAAAAGTCTACTGTATCATGTAGTTTACCATGCATGGTATGACTGATGACGATAATGAAGACTATATTGATTCAAAGAACTGCATAATTATTGATTAATCATTTGATTAAAATGTCATATACTCTCAAAAGCATTTTGCCTGGGCAGTTAAGTATAGGATAGTCCATTGTACCTTGTTTTTGTGCATGTACATGTCAATGATGACAGTGTACATTGTTTGTGGAGTACTTGATTAATATTTCCTCCCTCATTGAAGAGCAGGGGATTATCTTGGTGTCTGTTTAAAACTTACACAGGGAAGTATCAACTTGTGGGGGATAGGTGAAGGGAACAATTCACTTCTTCTTTCCTGTTCTTTATGATAAGGATCTACTACTATAGATCTACAGTTCATACATCCACTGGTTAACATAATTGAAACAAGATGTGTTTGTGAAACACTGATGCCCCCGTATGGCAACTTATATTGTAGTGAAGGTTAAACTTTCTCAAATGCAAATCAAATATGTTGGTACCCAAAGTAAGTTCTTGTCCTGTGGAATATACCTGTGAAATATGAAAGCCCTATCAGCAACCATTTAAAATATATGGAAAAGGTTAAAAATTTCCAAAAGTAAGTCAAACATCAAGGTCAAGGAAAAATGGTAAAAATTAATGGTGCCCAAGGAAAGGCCTTTTCACAAGAAATACACATGTGAAATATGAAAGCTCTAGCACCAACCATTCAAAAGATATGACCAAGTTTAAAGTTTATCAAAAGTAGGTCAAATTCCAAGGTCAAGGTCAAAAGGTCAAAGTTGTTGGTATCCAAAGTAAGGTCTTGGCACAAGGATTACAGATGTGAAGTATGAAAGCCCTAGCATCAACTGTTCAAAAGTTATGGCCAAGGTTAAAGTTTTTCAAAAGTAGTTAAAACTCCTAGGTCAAGGTCAAAGGGTCAAAGTTGTTGGTATCCAAAGAAAGGTCTTGTTACAAGGATTACATTTGTGTAGTATGAAAGCCCTAGCACCAACTGTTCAAAAGTTATGGCCAAGGTTAAAGTTGGGTAAAACTGGGTCAAACTCCAAGGTCAAGGTCGAAAGGTCAAATATGATGATACCCAAAGAAAGGTCTTGTCACAAGGAATACCATGTGAAATAGGGAAGCCATAGCTCCAACCAATCAAAAGTTATGAGCAATGTTAAAGTTTTTGCAGATAAACAGACAAACAGACGGACGGACAGGGCAAAAACTATATACCCCCTAATCTTCAATACAGGGGCATAAAAATAAATTTTAGCCTAGTATGTGTACTCTTATTTGTTGTGTTGGAAACAATTGCGGTTTTCTGCCTATAATGTTATAGATTCAGAATTTGTTGTATATACTAGATGAAATCCCGCGCAAGCGCGGGGAATTGAATATATACTACTACCGACAGAAAATATTTTGTAGTTTCTACTGACAACCTACAGGCTTATAGCAGGAAGAAATACTTTGTTCAAAATCTCGCTTGAAGTAAATGTACGTCTCCACCCCACCCCCCACCCACCCCCCCTTTGTAAAAACTTGAAAATTAACAATTTCATTAATTGACGTTTATTGTGAAACCTGTTATACTATGTTATGGATATTGTACCTCAGATGCTCTTATTTCATTTCCGTTAAGGATAAAAGCACTGAATCTGCACATTTTACTGATAAATTGATTTGGGGGGGGGGGGGGTCAAAATTCACAGGTACTTGGGTCTTGGTTTATAAATATGTTTGTACCTTACTGATATGTAAATAATGTACTTTACTTTTTTTTTACATATCAATAAGGTACGTACATATTTATAAACCAAGACTCAAGTACCTGTGTAAAATTAGCTTTTAATGCTCTATGAACAGGCCGAGTATTTGATACAAAAGACTGTTTTCAAAAAAAAAAAGTGAAATGTATTGATTAAAGCACAGATTTTTACATCTTTAATTGTTTTTGAACAATACCTTATTCATTAATTTTCTCTTTACATGTAAGCAAGTTTGTTACGAAGTACAAACTGTACGACGGGTTCGTTGCCACGACGCTCTAAGTAAGGAATATATACAAATTTTACCGATAAATTTATCAGGAAAACCTACTACATACATGTATATATATGTAATAGTTTTTCGATATATAAATATATTCACAACTTTATCAATGATATACCATTATTTCAATGACCAATCACAGAAAAGTTTTTTTTTATGTTATGCAGATATAAGGGCCTCGTTTTTTTTTTAACATCGGGCTCGATGCAATATGATGTTCTAGAAGCTTCCGTCAATATTAAGATTGGTGAATGACGAAAATAATTTGCATATTTCCCTTTTTAATCGGTTATCACAACTTATTTCTTTTATATAATTTAAATCAAGTTTTGATTGAATAATTCAGTGATGACGTTTTATGAAATAAATAAACGATTGCTTGTTGTCAGTTTCATTAAAAATTGCCAGTAACTTAGATCCGCCAACCGGAAACGCCACCGTACTCACGTTTTTGCTATTTCATGGCTGTTTATAGAAAATAAAAGTAGACTTTAAATTTAATGTACGATACTTGCTATGCGAGTGAAATCTAAATATAGTTTACGGACATCATCTTGTATCTAGTGTATTGTTAGAGGAGTAAGTAAGAACTCTGGTTCACCCGTTTCGGAGTTTATTTGCAAAATTTATTAATTTATAAGTATAGATATCTTAGGTCACACAAACCTAAATAAAATTCTAATTGCATCAAACTGTGAGCTTCTTCAGTCATAAGCTAATACAACCCAAGTATCCCTCTCCTTACAACTGAACATATTGGTCAGGATCCATGTTAGAGCTATATGTGGCGTATCTGAGCTAAAAAATAAAAATACGAGATTGAGTGTAGATGAACATGATATTTGTTACTTACGTTCAAATTAAAAATTTTCACTGATTTTGAACTTGAATAACTCCACGTTTCTATAATGAATTGACTTTAAACTGTGTCTGATATTTAAATGCGGAGTCGGTAAATAAATCGGTTATTGTTTTAAATTTCTAACATCTATGAAACGTGATTGATTTAAATTGTGTAATTTACAGGAAAGTTCTATCTTTATATAAAGTAATAAAATAAATAGAAAGATCTTTTTAATTTTAGTTAGTCTGAACTTACCAAAAATATGTCATATATGACTTTAACTGCTTGAATATGTGAGGTTCTTTTATATAATTACAAAATCACTTTAATTTGTTTTGCAGACAAAATGAATCCAGTACCCCAGCTAGGTGGTGCTGATAGAGGACCTGTTTCTCGGGTGGAACTTCGCATAGAGTGTAAAGCCCTAAAGAAAAAGGATGAGTTTTCCAAGTCCGATCCATGTGCAGCTCTGTACATGCTAAATAGAAAGGGGCAGAATTGGGAGGAAGTAAGTACATGTGTGTTGCATGTATTTTAAAAAAAAAATAGATGAGAAGTTATGAATCAGCTACTGCAGGTTAAGTATATAGTACACTGTCATAGAGAGAGAACAATAAAGGTTGGGGCTTGGCGAAAACGAAAAATCTAGGGAAAAAAATACATCAGAGAGTACACATTTAACTTAAGCTAATCTATTGTTCATGTTTGTAATATCCCTTTCATTGTTGAAGATATCCTTTAATATAATTGACAGATTAGTTGATTTTTGGCTCAGTTTTAGGGGTATTTGGGTTAGAATGTTCTTTAGGTCCGGACTGCTTTAGAACAAGTTTTGTACTTATGAAAGTTTTTTAAACAAAGATTATTTTAGTCAAGTTTAATCTTCATCTTAGAGCAGGCCTTTTGGGATTAAATTAACCCCCCCCCCCCCCCCCCCCACAAAAATAGATTCATTCTCCTGTTACATCACAAACAGTTTTATTGCAGCATCCACAAAAGAGAGAATAGCTAATTAAGTTGGTTAAAGCATTTTTGCAAACACAACTGCAGAGTGACATTTTTTTTTAATTACACCCTGGTTTGAATCCAGTTTAACAAGTAATTGTTTATATAATGGCATATAACATAAACATGATTCAATGAAATATTCAAACAGCTTACATCTTCTTCTTATTCTATAAACAGATTGGAAGAACAGAGTTAATAAAGAACTGTCACGACCCAAAATTTACACGGGCTTTCAGAGTGGACTACTTCTTTGAGGAAGTGCAGAAAGTGAAAGTAGAAGTGTATGATCTGGATAACGAAACAGCAACACTTGAGGATGATGATTTTTTGGGCAAAATTGAATGTAATTTAGGGGAGGTGAGTCACACAAGACTCGACCAGTTCAATCTATATTACTGGTAACAAAAATTCTTCAGTGTTGATTAACAGTGTTGATCCAATTTCAGTAAAACTTGGAACATAACCAATTACTTATACATATAATTCTTTTCAGATAGTTTCCAGGAATCCCTACTCAGGGCCTCTTTTGAAGAAGGATGGGAAACCCATGGGAGGATCCACAATTTCTGTATGAAACTTAAGATTTGTTCTCGCTTAACTTTAAAAATACAGAAGATGTCCACTATTCAATCATGTGCACCATTGTTGACTCTTTTCCCCTTGATGCCACAATTTAAGACACTGGTATTGGTAACTTGGTATTAAGATTTCAGTAGAAAGATCACAGCATGTAGGTTATACCCAAAAAATGTCACTCTTTAGCAGTACAACTTTGTGATGAGGAACTAATACTCTGTTCACACAGAGAGTGTAATTTGCAGTAAATTAATGCGAAGTAAAATAATGCCAATTAAACTAATGCGAATTAAATTGTGTTCACGACAGCTAATGCGAAGTAAACTAATGCGAATTAAAATTTTATTTCTACAGTAAGGATATTCAGCAAGGCTATGATGATGGGATTTTCAAATCACTTCACCTTATGCAGAGCAGATCCATTTGACATAATGTCATAGTGTCTGTACACATTTCATTGATTAACATAATTTTCCTCTGTTTTTCACTAAAAATAGCAGAAGTACCTATATCTGACCACCGACATGTGGCATGTAACTTAATTTTGCCACTACGCATGCGTAAAAATTCAATTCGAATTAGCTTCGCTTAGCTTTCACACATAGCTAATGTGAAGTAATTTAATGTGCAGTAAATTAATTCAAATTAAAATAATTCACATTATATTCCCCGTGTGAACACAGCAGTTCAAATTTAATTCGCAGTAACTCATGTTTAATTCAAGTTAAACTCTCCGTGTGAACAGGGCATAAGAATTTGTTACTGTCGGATTAGCTTACTAGTGACTTTTTGTTTGTAGATTAGATCAGAAGAGGTTAAGGAAGGAGGAGAGATGGTTCACATGAAGTTCAGTGCCACCAAACTGGACAACAAGGTTTTCTTTATCTTCTTTTTTTATCTTTTTTTTTCGTAAGATATCATTATGTTTGTTTTAATGGTCAGATGATGGTCTTCTATTACTATAATTTTTGAAAATTGGTCAGTGGGATAAATAGAGGGAATGGCTCATTTTTATCCCCAAATTTAGAAGTCTTTAGATGAGATGATTTAGACTAAAAGCAATGGCTATAGTTCAATTTTTATTGCCATTTTCTATGCTACGTGTGTTTCTTTCTTTCATGTTGGAAGAAGCAAAAGTCAGTGGCAACTATTTCCAGTATTTAAATGATGAAGTTTGGCATTATATTGTTAAATTACAATTACATGTATATCAGATTCAGATGTGGTTGAAAGATATTTTAGAAGGAATTGAAGTTATTGTCTTTGCTATCTTAATTTAAATTTTCTTGTTTATATGAAATACTCTTCCTATGTGTATGCATACCATATCAATAATATTTAAGCAAAATTATCACAGTATGAAATGGAGTTAAACAAAAAATATATGGAAATTATAACTTAGAATCTTGATAAGCCAGAAAAACAGTGCTCTCATTTTTACAGAACATTATGTCAGAATAAATTTTTGAAATTTGGACAGGATTTTTTGGGGAAGTCTGATCCTTATCTGGAAATCTCAAAGAAGGCATCTGGATCTTGGCAGGTTGTTCACAGGACAGAGGTATGGTCCTTTATTGTGAATTTCATAATTTAATGTAATAACAATCTTATTTTTTAGAGATTTATTAATAGTATAGTTATTGTAGACCTTCAGTAAAAATTAATTCTCTTAGCTTTATTTTCACTAATTAAATCATTTGGGTTTTGTATGTACATTTGGGTTTTGTATGTACGAGGGGTTATCAAAAAGTTCGTGGACTGACGCGATAAAATTAATAATATGTAGTCTTTGCTTACAAAATTTAAGCGGAACATAAAACAACAAAAGTTTAAGAAATGTTGAAAATTTTAGCTAGATACGTTGATAATTTGCCAAATTATTCTAAAATTAAAAAGACTTTATGTGACCACCCGGCGCTGTCGCCGTTTAGTGTCATGACGTCCGCTTAACGTCATTGTTTCTTAATGTCCGCTCTCTCTACCTCATGCAATTATCTTGATGAGATTACCTGGGGTTAAGTAAGGACTTAAACCCGTCTTATTTATATGAATTTACAATGTCATGAGCAGCTGTTTTCAATACATATAATATTGTAAATGGATCTTTATATGAGGAAGATCCTCACCTGATTATGCCAGAATACTTAGCTTGTTGGAGTTCAATTTCTACCACACATGATCAACGTCACTTTTCGACGTGACTGACTTTTGACACACTGACTACAAATCGACACTAACTGTGCATATTTCATCTCTCTGAATCTTTTTGGGCATTAAAAATAAGTACTCTGGATGCATTTTATTTTTCTGTAGCAAGTTTAAACATTCCTTAGGTCAATACCAGTTTTTCCAGGAGCGAAACTCTATAGAGTGTTTGAAAAAGAAACCCCTCCCCCTTTTTGACGTTATTTTCAAGCCCATAATTGTTTGGACACTCCATATAAAATTTACGATAAAATTTCATAGAAATTACAGAATGGGGTAAAAATTGCAAATTTTACTGAACAAATGTGTCGTACGTACCACATGCCTGAATTAACGAGATTTTTTGATGACAAATACTCATATCTAAAGAGTTTTTCTCAGTTACACTCAGGTAGAAAAAAACGTCATATTAGAGGTTGCGCCGCCTGGACATACCTTTGCTTACAAAAACACTAACAATTTATTAAAAAATAAAAATTATGATTTATGGTTTATTCTATAGATAGAAAAGATGATGCTAACTAAATGTGTAAAAATTCATTGATGTACCTAAAGCGGTTTTAATTTTATGACGCTAGTCCACGAACTTTTTGATAACCCCTCGTACATATGGGTTTTGTATGTACATATGATGATGCCAAAGAAGGGAAACGAATCTTCTTTTTATACGCCCATCTTTTGACAGGCTGTATTACAGTATACAGTTTTCACGTCAATCAGTCTGTTAACTCTGTCACAATCCGAGATCTAGCGTCATCAAATATTGTCAGTTAATGCATCGTGGTGAAAGGGGGAGGGTGGTATCTCTACTCAAAAGTAGGTCTTGATGACCTCATTTGTGTATTCTGTCTGTACATACATGTAGTCAAAATTGTGCCTGAAAATTATTGCACACAGTATTAATTAAACCAATTGAATAACTAAATCTTGTCAAGTGGTGCATCTTAGGAGGGAATTTGTTGCAACCGAAAAGAAGTGCTTGACTTAATTTTAGAAATTTTTAAAAAGCTTAAAGTCAAATCGTGCTCTGTTCATAATGACATATCTCACCGTGTGAGACCAAGAATCACCAAACCTTGTCTGGTGATACATCTACAAGCATGATGTATCATGACTGTCTTGTAATTTTTAATAATTTGTTTTGACAATGAGGTTTTTTTTTTGCTCCTGTGGCACAATTTATTTTCAACTTTTATCCATCTCAAGATGTGAAAAATAATGTTTTTACAGGTAATCCAATGCTTTGTGTTTCTAGGTGATCAAGAATACATTAAATCCTGTATGGCGGCCATTTACTCTTTCTGTCCATGCTATGTGTGGTGGAAACAAGTCAGAAGATATCAAGGTAACTCAACTTAGAGATAGTAGATCCTTGTGTAATAAAAATATGAATAATAATACATGTAATACTTCAGAGCAACCATTTTATAGGAGAAATGTACATTCAGAGTCTGCATTGGTCTGTTGAAGTTTTAGTGCCTGATTTAAGGCTGATTTAAACAGTTCAGCTATTAAACCTATTAAAAAGCAGATTTTTCACAATCTTTTATTGTTGAAATGTAGCTCTTTCAATTTTAAGTGCTATTTCAAGAAAGCATGATGAATAGGTCAGTTTAGAATTATTTCCCTTAATTGTTGAGATTTTCTAGAAATGGAAAAAAATATTAGTGCGATAATAAAGTGTGAGCTAGAACTAGATCTCTTTCATTTGAAACTAGCTTAAATTTATTCTATGTGTCTTTTTCAACTTAAAGCTGTTTGAAAGGTTTATGTAATTATGCATAATATTACATATATTCCCAACTCCATACCTTGTATTTTAAGAGAGCAATTAATTTGTATTTTATAAATGCATTGTTGTATGGTGGCATATATTTCTGCAACCACTTGTCAGATGATTAGGTTTTCTTGTCAGATATTTATGTTTTCTTGTCAGATATTTATGTCGACTTGTCAGATCTCTTTATGTCGACTTGTCAGATCTTTATGTCAAATTGTCAGATAATAATCATCATGACTAGGAACTTGGTATCTTGATATTAAAGTGTTATTTGCCACTAATTGACATTTAGCTTATCAACATTATATCTGACAAGTTGATAATAAGTCCAACAAGTTAACTTGATTATCAGACAAGTGCACATAATCATCTGAAGTTGACATGTTAGATGTTATGTCATTGTCACAGACCAGAAGTTCTGTGTCCATTTTATTTCCACAAAATCCATTGCTTGTGATGATGATGATATGTTGACCTCTCAGATTATGTTGTTGACATGTAAGATGTTACGTCAACCTGTGAGATAATTATCTCCACTTGTCAGATGTTTATGTCAGCTTGTCAGATAATAGTGATGACTCGCTAGAAAGTTATTAAGCTTGTCAGATCTTTACGTTGACTTCTCAGATCCTTATGTTGACTTGTGAGAAAAATGCATCATCAACTGGATGTAACGTGAATAAGTGACAAGTCAACATAAAAATCTGTTAAATTGACATAATCATCTGACAAGTCGAGACGACATAAACATCTGACAGGTCTAATAATCATCTGATGAGTAGTTGCAAAAATATGCCACCATAATGTTGTATACTGGTATACCTCTTAATTTCTACTGCTAAAAACTTGCATTTATCTGTCTTTTTGATTCTTACAGTTTGATTGCTATGATTACGACAGTGATGGGTCACATGATTTTATTGGAACATTCACAACTACATTGGCAGATATGGAGTCTAACACACAAGGAGGGAAGGAGGTTTGTATCAATTCTTTATTCCACTGGGAGTTATTTCCCTTTGTAGCTATCAAAGAGGAGAAGACATACCATATCTTATCTTCATTTGAGAGAGTAAGTTAAGTTTGTTGCTCAGAGTTTTGTTGATTTGAAGTAATAAAATGAAGTGTAGAAGTGGCTTTTAAAGATTGGCCATGGATATTGGTTAGATTTTTTCGCCTCCATCTGATTTTAGAGTAAACTATAACTACCCTCACTGCATCAGCATTTAAATCATTCTGATCTGCAACAATGTGAATATCTGTACAGGTGTATTACAACACAATTTTTGTCTCTTTCCAATTACTTCTCCATACTTTATGATAAAAACTTTTTTTATCATAGTTACAGGATGTTAACATAATAAAACCCATGATATTAAACAATCCTGGAGTTATTTTAAGAGTGAAAACTGTCAACTCATTGTGACAAAGAAGAATAATATAATAGAGATATACTGCCTGTACACATTACTCAATAGATCACCCACATTTTTAATTACTTATAAGAACTTCATCCAAGATATAAAATTTCACCTTTCAAAACTGAATAGTATTTATTCATAATATACGAGGGGTGATCAAAAAGTTTGCAACTATCTCTATATTTAGAAAACCACAGTTCAGATTGGAATAAAATTTGGAACAAATATAGTCATACATATGTTCTATAAATAGCAGATGTTATGTAATGTTTTGCTACATGTTTGTGACGTCACAATGTTAAATGACGTCACAATGTAGGTGCTTTGTGACAAAAAATAGTTGACTTGGTTGTACTTGAGCAACGAACGGCTGTAAAGTTTAACGTATATCTTGGAAATTCTTTTGCAGTAGCATATGATAATTTGTACAAGGTTTATGAAGACAAAAGACTTGCCAGAAGTTCAATCATTAATTGGATTGATTATTTTAGTGAGGGAAGGGGGATGGTTAAAAATGATGTTTGTTCTGTTGCCTAGTGAAAGCAAGCTGGGGAAGAGATCTGTCTTTAGTTGAGCAATTTGTTATGAATGATCGCCAAGTAATAGTTAGAAAAATAGTTGAATATCTTAAGAATAATATAATTTTTAAATCCCTAAAATATTGTTTATTTTAAACTTAAAACATATCAGATATGATAAAAAGAAGGTGCCTGTACTATATTCATATAATATATAAACGACGTTCCTAAGACAGAGAACTCGGGTTGTGATGGTTACTATGCTCATTCTGGGAAAGGACATCCTTATTCACTCATCCTATTTTCGAGATTCAGCCATTTCTGACAAATGAACATTTTTTGTGATGAAAAATAACTTGCAGGGTAAGAAATATAGGACTCAGAAGAATCTTTTAGCTTCTGTGAACAGAACACCACAGAGCATGTCACGTTACCGCCTGGATCACGTGATTTCGCGCATGGGCAGAAAGGTGGAAGATGTGCATTAAATTCAGAGAGGACTACTTCAAAAAATAATGAACACTCAAACCTAATTTTATTTCTTTTATCGAAGTAATTCAGTTAGTTCGCGAACTTTTGGATCACCCCTCATACATTTGTACTGTATATGTAACAGTTATTCAATAACAATAGCACCTGTATCTTGGCAATTTGTAACCCAAACTTGATACAGTGTTATAAATTTAATAAATATCATTGCTAAACAGATTCATAGTTGTTTATATTCCATAGCACTTTTTTTGCATTACAACTTAATTTAAAAACAACTAAAATAAGTCATTTAAATGTCTATAGCAGTCTAGTTGTCTATCCACCACATATTGGTTTCATGGCAATCATGTTCTCTGCACACGTGAGGGGTAGTTGTAGAACCCCTAGAATAGCCTCGCACACACCCTTCATTGGTTCTATGCACGCTGAGAATGGGAGCAGGAACACGTACAACCAGGCTATAAAGAAAGCAATAGGCCACGCCAAAAACCACAGGATTAGAAACCACAGAATGGCCCAGATCAGCCCGGGGCACAGGTCCCCTGCTCCTTTTCCCTCACCCTGACCCTCGCCCTGGCCCATTGAGAATGTTTGTCAGTTTGTTGTGTGATAATCTGAAAAGAAAAATCATTGTACATTTATAATTTTATGTGAAATTTATATACCTTAGAGTATTGAGAAAAATTTATCAATTAATACTTCGTGTTTTAGTTGTGTCTCTCAGAGTTGGGGGATTAAACTTTGAACTTACCGTAACTCCATTCACCCCTTTCTAACAGCTGTTTTATTGCTCATTAATAGCGTACATATCAAACTATTGATTTAATTGCATAGCAATATACACTGCACTTTTTAAGCAACAAGTCATCTATTTTTTTATATTTACTTTGAGGATGGGGATTCAAAATGGCATACTAAATACATGTACTTTTAAAAAAATTACATCGATAATATTTTTTGCACTTTTAATGCAGGTGTAGCTAGCAAGAAGTATTTACCATGTATCCAAAACAGACTGCAATATTCATCACATAATCCCATTGATTTAACATTTTTAGCAAACAACATTCTTAACTATAATAGTCAAGTATTGAAAGCATTGTTAACATTGAAAGTACTGAGTGATTTATAGAATGCATAGCCTAATGGTTTTTAAGGACTGTTTTATATATTTCCAAAGGCTTTATTCAGCAAATGTAAAGTTTACAGACAGTGCACTCTTTTACAAAAACTGCTATGGTTGAGCAGAGGGTACATATATGCCATAAAAATGGTGTGCAAATGATGGTTTATGTATGTATGATAACAACTTGTTTCTGGGGGTGGGGAGGTGTCCAATCAGAATATTGATACTGTGGATGATGGATTCCTATAAACTGGTTGTCATGAATGGTTGTGATGATTGTAAGAAACCTAGTGGTATCAAATTTTGCCAGTTGGCATATCAAGGTATTAATCATAAAGTTCTAATGATTTTATTGTCCAAGTGTTGACCAGGCTACTTTAAATGACCATGTTGTCTAGGAGTTTCAAAGAGAACCAACCGACTTTATCATATGGCTCCCACTCATTTCACAAGCCATATAAATAAAGTGGAGAACAACAGTTAAATTTTAATGCATGTTCAAACAGTGCATTTTGATTTGAAAGAGAAATGGGGTGGTAACTAGAATTGAATATTTTTTTTAAATGCGTAACAACAAATTTACAAAACACAATGAATTTATAATGGTTATATATTAAACATTCCTAATAGGACAGGGTTTTTTTTATCAATCAGGAGTAGAATTTCTAAAGCTTTGAATACCAACATTTTTTTTAATGATTTAACATGCTTAACCCCCCCCTCCCCCAATCTAAATTGGTGCAATATAGTAAAAGTTATTATATTATTTATCTTTGTTATTAAGTTTGCCATGAGACAATTCAGACTTAGCTACTTTCATTTACAAGTTTAAAAAATTCCTGTGCAATAGTTCATGAAAAAACCCCAAAAGGAATCTTTGTGATCTTTTAAGTTTGTTTTAGTGACTATTGTCTTTGGTGAGAAGTCTGTCAGGGGTTCATTGATTGTCCTGCCATTTACAAACTAGTACATTCACACTATCCGAAAATATAATCAGAGATTACTTCTGATAAAAGTCACTTCAGTGTTTGCCAGTTGAATTATACAGGCAAAAAAAGGTCATTGCTTTTCCGTACCCAGTAATTTTAAACTCTACTTACAATTAGTTGCAATTTCCAAACAGGAGAAAGTGAGTCATTAAACAGTATGCCGACAAATTCAGTATCTACATGTATTGCTGAATATATGATAAAGGGGAAATGAATGACAGCATCCTATAAGTACAGTAATGTTGTCCTGAAACCTGTAGGATATGCTCACAGCTGTTGATATGTATTGATTGAAAATAAATTATGATCCATGTTTTTTTTGTGAGAGTTAGTTGCAGCTTACTAAAAAACTATTGTTTGGACAAATGTTTACAGTTATCAGAGGTTTTAATGTCAATATGTAACACATATTGCTATGCATTGATCAATCAAGTGTTGATTATAATTCTAATGCTCTAATCTGAAAAGATGAAGCAATATGCATTAAAAGGAATTTGTTTTTAGATACTGACTAATGAAATTTACTGTTGAATTTTTTTTCTCAAAATTGTCTTATACACTGTACCGGGATATATTTTTCTTTAATTATCAACTCACCAAAATTGCATTAAGTGTAATGAAAAGTATTATAAATTTCTGTGTATTCCCAATTTATGTTTAAAAATCACATCAAATAGATTCAATATAATGTAAAAAATTCTTAAATTAATGACATAAAAAAGTACAGAGTGTGTTTATGCAATCATAATTACCTGAAAAATTCAAAAATGTTAATGATTGACAATAAATATTCTCTGCATTTGAGTCAATTAGTCAATTTTAATCACTTGATCATTTCTTACCTTAAAAGATATTTAAAACTATTTTACATTCCAACTTTACGATAGTAAGTCTATATAATCCTGTTACACACACAAAGTTATTGATGTTTACAGATCACTATGACGATGTCTATATCACACCACAGACTCCACCCAAACTCTGGCTAACACACAAACACGGCAAATATTACAAACACCAGTCAGTGACCAGAGCAAACAGAAATAGTTAGAGTGACCCCATTTATGTCTTTCACCTTAAAATGAAATGTGTCAACATTGATGAGTAAATATCCCTAGAAAATCAAATCGATGAATACTGAAGTGATTTTGTTGCTTCATTGATCAAGGAATTTTATTATTTTAATGCACTGTTCTGAATCATTTACCTTTACGTTAGAATTTCTTTGTTGAGTAGAAATATCTAGATTTAAATTTTTATGTCAGATGCACTTTTGAAAAGCACGTAAAGAACATGAGGGAATTGGGGATGAAAAATATTTTCTTTCATTATGAAGTCCATTGTACACCTCTGTACCCTTTAAAAAGGTACAAAGAGGCAATTTTTATAAAGTTAACAAATTCAGCTGAGAAAATGTGATAATATATATAAATAATTATTTGAAATATATTGGCTCAGAATCTGTTTACTTCAGTTGAGGACCTTTTAGATTTTGGCATTTTCAGCTGTTTAATTTGAGACCCTTTTCTCATATCCTTCTCAATAACACTTTTATCTTCACCAACATTTAACAGATAATTCATGTCTATATAAAAATCAACTTGTACCTAAATGGTACATGTATGTTGTGAAATTTAAAGAGGTTTTTATAAGCAGTAAATTTTACAATCTAGAAACTTTTTTAGACTGGTATTTCCTGTATATCGCGCATATCAGGCAGGCAGGCCAGTCTAGAAACTTTTTTAAATTTAAATGTTTAAAAGTTAAGCATCTTACCTTAAAATGTCAGTTTAACACTGATATGAAGCAGAGATGGTTGAAGTAGATAGTAAATATGTGCAGTCGCTGTTCCATGAAATGTAGCTAGAAGTTTTATTCTAATTTTATTCCCACTTTTGTACACTTATTTAAACACTGAGCTGAGTCAGCAGGGCTGAATTAGGTCAATAAACTTCCACAGATTTGTTTGCTCACCCCCTACTTATAGGGCAATGATATTCATTTCTCAATGAAGTTTATATGCTTTGTTTATACTTAATGTAGACAAACAATGATTAAGACTTTAATCTCACCTGTAGTATTAAAAACGCTCTTGGTTTCAGATCAAAAATATATCTGGACATAAATTTGAAGGTTAAAAACTAAATATTTTGCATACAAGTGGGTGTTGCTTTGTACAAGCTGAGAAAAGAGTGCTTTTTAAATGAATTTCGTCAGTTGCCTGTGAAATGTGTACTCTTGTAACTAAGGGAAATGAATAAGCATAAATATATATTGGATAAATGAATTTCAATGTTCAAATATTGATTTGTTAGCATTCTCGATACAGTTCATAGCAAGACAAATTTCATTTTCGTTGATAAAAGTAAAAGATCAATTAAAATCTCTCTTTAAGTTGATTGTTAAACAGAGAATATTGAATTCACCTTTCAATTATCATATTTGAAAGCTTTTAATACAATTGATTTTCCTTTGTGTATATTTTTCACCTTATCAGATATTTTTTAAGGTCACTGCAAACTGTTCATTGAAATTCATTACCTCAGATTTAATTACACGTTTTTTGTTTATAATTGTTTTTGCAGGCCAGTTACCCTTGTATTAATCCAAAGAAACAGTCCAAAAAGAAGTACCAGAACTCAGGAGTTATACACCTTACTGAACTTAAGGTAATTAGATCATTCCACCCATCAAAGTTTGCAAAATTGAAAGATCTATGATAATTCACCTATGTTTCTCTCTCTCGGATTTGTTGGTTTCAGTGTTTCTTCAATGAGGAGTGAATTTCTTTCATATTGATACCAGTCCTTGTCTTACAGTTGCAAAAATTTCTCCAATAATGTATTTATCTGGACATTTTCCATTGCAACTATTCAGTTATAAGTTGTGTTGTATGATGTTCCAGTACAAGATCCATTCCAAGTTTCATTTAGATTGGCTTTAATACTATGACTCTATTTGAATTACACTAGATTTCATTGAATTTTAGTTCACCTTAGCCAACTGTTTTGATGATCTTTCTGTCTTTGTTTCCTCTGTAAAGTTCACATTTACTTTTTCTCAAGAATTACAGTCAGTGTAATCCAAAATTGCCATAGACTCATTCCTGGTTGAAGGGAATTCAAGTTAGGTAACAATTTTCTAAGGGGAAATAAACAATAAATATGAAAGAATGGGATGAGGTCATACAACAATCTGTTTCCCAAGAACTACTGTTCTAGAAAACAAAGCTAAAGTGGAAGATTTGTAAGTAGTATGTACATGCAAGTCTGTTTAAAACAGACCTTCTTCTGTTAATGAACAACAAAGCAGAAAATAATTCAGATTGATATGCAAGTTGCTTAGGTATGATTTGTTCAAAGCATGACCCCAACGGTTTTGATGGGGCTAAATATAAGGTCAATATTTCATAAAGGATTTGAAAAATATGAAATATGTTGTTACAAAAAAGACTTTACTGGTAATAGCCAACTTAAATGCATCACATGCATGCCTAGGTTGTGTAAATTTAAGCTGCTCATTAATTGCAACATAGCCAGGGAGGAAGATAAAAAATATTGAATCAGGTGAGCAATGTGACCCATCAAGCATGGACTGTTGTTAGATTGGCTATTAGTGGGGGGCATCATAATCCTACAAAGATATCTTTATTTTTTAGATTTTCAAGAGACCATCATTCCTGGAATTTGTTTATGGGGGAATGCAGATAAACTTCACAGTAAGTTAGTATTGCACAAGTGATAACTGCCATATATGCAATATCCATTTCTATGTCATATTTTATCTTGTTTTGAATCAATAAATACATGTACTGTGACTGTCAAATTAGCTTGAGATGCCATGCAATATCTATTAAAAATAAGATTATATGTTGGTTGCATTTTTTTAGGTCACCTGAGTCACTCAGGTGACATATTGCTATCCGTTTTTGTCCGTCGGCGTGCGTCGTGCGATGTGCGTTAACATTTGAACATTTTTAGCTTCTTCTCTGAAACCGCTCCACCAATTTCAACCAAATTTGGCATATAGCATCTATGGGGGGGAACAAAAATTGTGAATTTCATGGTCCCTGCCCCCCCTGGGGCCTGAGGGGTGGGAGTAAAACCACCAAAATTAATGCAATCTTTAAAAATCTTCTTCTTTACTCCTGGACATCAAGCAGTCAAAGTGTTGGCATCATTGTAATAAGCATTGAGTCCTCTACCAAAATTATGAAATTCATGGCCCCAGGGTCAGAGGTTCTGGTGCTAGGGCGGGGCTAGATAGATCATATAGTGAAAGTGCATTATTTCTTTGAAAATCTTCTTCTCTGCTCCTGGGTATTAAATAAACTAACTAAGTATATAGTTATGATGAGTAAGAGTGCCTCTTCCAAAATTGTGAAATTCATGGCCCCAGGGTCAGGGATTCTGGTGTTAGGGTGGGGCTCTATTGATTATATAGTGAAAATGCATTAATTCTTTGAAAATCTTCTTCTCTGCTCCTGGGTATTAAATAAACTAACTAAGTATATAGTTATGATGAGTAAGAGTGCCTCTTCCAAAATTGTGAAATTCATGGCCCCAGGGGCAGGGGTTCTGGTGTTAGGATGGGTCTCTATAGATTATATTGTGAAAAAGCATTAATTCTTTGAAAATCTTCTTCTCTGCTCCTTGGTATTAAATTCAGTAACCAAGTACATAGTTATGATGAGCAAGAGTTCCTCTTCCAAAATTGTGAATTTCATGGTCCCAGGGGCAGGGGTTCTGGTGTTAGGGCGGGGCTCTATTGATTATATAGTGAAAATGCATTAATTCTTTGAAAATCTTCTTCTCTGCTCCTGGGTATTAAATAAACTAACTAAGTATATAGTTATGATGAGTAAGAGTGCCTCTTCCAAAATTGTGAAATTCATGGCCCCAGGGGCAGGGGTTCTGGTGTTAGGATGGGTCTCTATAGATTATATTGTGAAAAAGCATTAATTCTTTGAAAATCTTCTTCTCTGCTCCTTGGTATTAAATTCAGTAACCAAGTACATAGTTATGATGAGCAAGAGTTCCTCTTCCAAAATTGTGAATTTCATGGTCCCAGGGGCAGGGGTTCTGGTGTTAGGGCGGGGCTCTATTGATTATATAGTGAAAATGCATTAATTCATTGAAAATCTTTTTCTCTGCTCCTGGGTATTAGATAAACTAATTAAGTACATAGTTATCATGAGCAAGAGTGCCTCTTCAAAAATTATGAATTTCATGGCCCCTGGGTCAGGTGTGCTGGTGTTAGGGTGGGGCTCTATTGATTATATAGTGAAAATGCATTAATTCTTTGAAAATCTTCTTCTCTACTCCTGGGTATTATTGAAACACATTAAATACATAGTTATGATAATCAAGGATGCCTCTTCCGAAATTGAGAAATTCGTGGCCCCTGGATCAGGGGTTCTGGTGTTAGGGCGGGGCTCTATTGATAATAAAGTGAAAATGTTTTAATTCTTTAAAATCTTTTTCTCTGCACCTGGGTATTATTTAAACAAACTAACTACATTGTTATGATAAGCAAGGATGCCTCTTCCAAAATTGTGAAATTCATGGCCCTGGGGACGAGTTCTGGTGCTAGGGCGGGCTATATAGATCCTATAGTGAAGGTGAATTATTTCTTTGAAAATCTTCTTCTCTGCCCCTGAGTATTGTTTAAACAGACTAAGTACATTGTTATGGTACGCAAGGATGCCTCTTCCAAAATTGTGAATTTTATGACCCCAGCTTAAAGGGTTCTGGTGAGGGGGGAGGGGGGGGGGGGCTTCTATTGCTTATAAAGTGAAAAAGCAAAATTTCTTTGAAAATATTCTTTTCTGCTTCTGGTTAAAAAAGCAAAGAAGCTAAGTGTATAGTTATGATGAGCAGGAGTGCTTCTTTCAGAGTAGTGAATTTCATGACCCCTGGGTCAGATGTGCTGGTGTGAGGGTGGGGCTCTTGATAATATAGCGAAAATGCATTAATTCTATTAAATAATCCTGTTTGCTCCTTAGCGTTAAGCAGATAAACAAAGTGATTAGTTATGATGAGCAAACTTAAGGCCCCAGGGTCAGAAGCTCTGGTGTTTTGGTTGAGGGGGGGGGGGGGGGGGGGGGCTCTATTGATACATGTAATATAGTGAATCTGTAGTAAAAATGCATTATTTCTTTAAAAATCTTCTCTGCACCTGAGCATATCTGAGGCAAATAGAGTAAAATTTTTATAAGGAAGGGAATTTTTACCAGAATTTTGAACATCTGGACCATTTGGTCAAGTGTTCTGGTCCTGGCCAGGGCTCTATTAGTTTGTATTCTACTGAGAGGAGTTATTCCCCTTTGCCATTTACTTTTGATAATTTATCACTGTAAATAATGTACTTGAAAGGTAAATAGAATAAGAGAATTATGCAAGAACTTTTATTGTATAATACAAAAAGTACTTTCATTGTTTTAATGATCAGATAGACTTGTAAGTAGTAGATAAACAAGAGGCCCATGGGCCATATCGCTCACCTGAGCACATTGGCTAGGAAAAAAAGCAAAAATCAGTTCAGTATTGAAAAGTTTATGGGGGGGGGGGGGTGAATTTTAAACAACCTGATGATGCTTTCATATCAATATAACAAATGGCTTTGCAGTTCTTGAGCAGAAGATTTTTTCCCATATATTCATTTGATCCCCCATTGTGGCCCCACCCTACCCCCGGGGGCCTTCATTTGAACAAATTTCATTCTACACTACCCAAGGATGCCTCATATCAATTTGACTAATCATGGCTTTTCTTTTCTTGAGAAAAAGATTTTTTCCTAAAAATTCCTCTGAAAACTTTGATCACCCATTGTGGCCCCACCCTACCTCCGGGGGGTCATGATTTGAACAAACTTGAATCTACACTATCTGAGGATGCTTCCATAGAAATATGACCAATCATGGATTTGCTGATCTTGAGAAGAAGATTTTAAAAGATTTTTCTATAAACTCTTATGAAAAACTTTTTGTGACCCCATCCTATCCCGGGGGGGGGGGGTCATGACTTGAACTAACTTGAATCTACACTACCTGAGGATGCTTCCATAGAAATATGACTAATCATGGCTTTGCTATTCTTAAGAAGAAGATTTTTTTAAGATATTTTCCTATATATTTCTATGTAAAACTTTGATCCCCCATTGTGGCCCCACCCTACCCCCAGGGGACGTGATTTGATCAAAATTGAATCTACACTACCTGAGGATGCTTCCATATAAATATGACCAATCATGGCTTTGCTATTCTTAAGAAGAAGATTTTTAAAGATATTTTCCTATATATTTCTATGTAAAAATTTGATCCCCCATTGTGGCCCCACCCTACCCCCGGGGGACATGATTTAAACAAAATTGAATCTACACTACCTGAGGATGCTTCCATATAAATATGACCAATCATGGCTTTGCTATTCTTAAGAAGAAGATTTTTAAAGATATTTTCCTATATATTTCTATGTAAAACTTTGATCCCCCATTGTGGCCCCACCCTACCCTCGGGGGTCATGATTTGAACAAACTTGAATCTACACTACCTGAGGATGCTTCCATATAAATATGACCAATCATGGCTTTGCTATTCTTAAGAAGAAGATTTTTAAAGATATTTTCCTATATATTTCTATGTAAAACTTTGATCCCCCATTGTGGCCCCACCCTACCCTCGGGGGTCATGATTTGAACAAACTTGAATCTACACTACCTGAGGATGTTTCCACATAAGTTTCATCTTTCCTGGCCCAGTGGTTCTTGAGAAGAAGATTTTTAAATGATGCCATTAATTTTTCACGAATTCCTAATTATCTCCCCTTGAAAGAGGGCGTGGCCCTTCATTTGAACAAACTTGAATCCCCTTCACCCAAAGATACTTTGTGGCAAGTTTGGTTGAATTTGGCCCAGTGGTTCTTGAGAAGAAGTCAAAAATGTGAAAAGTTTACAGACAGACAGACAGACGGACAGACAGACAGACAGACAGACAGACGGACGCCGGACAAAATGTGATCAGAAAAGCTCACTTGAGCCTTCGGCTCAGGTGAGCTAATAAAAATGAGACAAAAATAACTTGTCTTTTTAAATATTCATCAAAGACCAAGAGAGGCCAATGTAAGAGATTTCAACAAGGGATTAAAATAGTACAGAAGCATTGATAATTTGTTAATATACTGTATGGTGATAGTGATAAATGGGGAACAGATTAGAACCTAATTTATGAACTGTTATTGAATATTAAGACCAATTATTTTGTTGATCATGATCACCCATTTTTTTTTCTTTCGGGCAACAAAGCTTCACCTTTCAGTTCATTTTATACTCTATGCATAATGCAAATTATTGTATCATACTCAGGTGACCGTTAAGGCCCTTGGGCCTCTTGTTTTAAAAACCTGACGTGTCCATTTTAACATACCATTTAATACATTTACCTTGTTTTATTGCTTTTGACCAATTTTTTCAGGTGGGAATTGATTTCACTGGATCAAATGGAAACCCAAGTAGCCCTAATTCTTTACATTATATTAATCCCTACCAACCTAATGAATACATGCAAGCTATACAGGCCGTGGGCAATGTCTGCCAGGATTATGATACGTAAGACAGACCTATCTACATTTCTGAATTATTTTATCATCTGTTTTAGCTCTTTATACATTTATCAGACTACAAACTAAAGAAAATAACATCAACCCTCTGTTTACGTTCAAGATTTTCCACAAGAATTCTAATGTATAATTAAAATGTACACAATTTCAGCAACTTGTACAGGGCAAAATTTGACAGCAATGACCTATTTACTAGAAAAATTTTTCAAGGAATAATAATAAAAATTTTCCCAGTGAGAGTTTTTAGTTAGGTTTATGAAAAGAACCATGAAATTTTATACTGTTTGCTTGGATGAATTTTCAGCCCTTAATTTTCCTGTAAAAATTCTCGTGTGTGAGGTACAAACTTCTTATATATTAATATATCTTTTTAAAAATCTTTTTCATGATAAGAAAAGACTTGTCATTTTTTTAGGGATAAATTGTTTCCTGCCCTAGGATTTGGTGCTAAACTTCCTGATGGAACTGTTTCCATGGAGTTTGCCATCAATTTCAACCCCAGCAACCCATACTGTGCAGGTAAGTCAACTTGAAGAAAGTGTAGAATTATTGTTGTTATTGTGATAATTTACCTCTCACAAGTTCAAGGTTTTGTGTGAGGTATGTAATCGCTAAGCCTTGACATTGTGAAGGTGCATGGGAAAGAAGTAACTATAAATAAACTTTACCCATCTCCCAGTTATCAATAATGTGCATTTACTTATTTAATTTTCCAATGAAAAATTAAATATAAACTTGAACAAGTCATGGAACCTATAAACGTACTTGTATAGAATTGACAATTTTATTTCTTGTAGGGATTGGTGGTGTCCTTGAAGCCTACAAAGCATGCATACAGAGGGTGGCCCTCTATGGACCCACTAATGTAGCCCCCATCATATACCATGTGGCCAGGTTTGCTGAGCAGGCACAGAGGGAGGAAGGCACAAAAGGGGCACATGTTGGTTTACATATTATACAAATATTTATTTCAAAGGGAGCAAATGTAATCTGTATGAAGATAATAATATACTTGCTTGAATTGATATGCTTTTTGCAACAGCCTTTTGCTACTCATTTGTCATTAATATAATTATGTTTATTCATGTATAATCATATATTTGTCCTTCATTTTTGTGTGACATTAAATCTCATTCATCTGTATGTCCACCTATTTAGCTGTCTGTTTGTCTCTCTAGCTTTGTGTCTGCCTGTCTGTTGCAAAAAACTTTGACCTTGGTCATAACTTTTGAATGAGTAAAGATAAGGCTTTCCTATTGAACATGCATTATCTTTGACAAGTCCTTTCTGAATGTTGACCTCGTGACCCTTGAAGTTAAACTTTCTTTTCAAATATTTGAACTTTGGTCGCAGCTTTTGCACCTTAAGAGACAGAGCTTTCATGTGAACATGTATTTTACATATGAATTATCTGTGACAAGACTGTTCCAAATGTTTATAATTTTTGACCTCATAACCTTGACCTTGAAGTTTGACATACTTTTCAACAATATTAACCATGCATAGCAGTAGCTTTTGCAGCTGAAAAGACAGGCTTTCATACTTTACAAGTGCATTACCTGTGACAAGACCTTTCCAAATGTACTATGATTTTTGACCTTGAAGTTTGATCTACTTTTCAAAAACATTAACCTTGGCTGAAACTTTTGCACAGATGAGAAAGGGCTTTCCTATGCCATAGATCATTTCACCCCAGCTAACAAGGCTCTGAAAGTTTATCGTGTGATATAATGTTTATGGTTAAGGGTGTGCTAAACTGTGATTCCATCAATGTAAATTTACAATTTTCTGAATTACTTCTGACCAGATTATACATACTCATTTCTGGCATATTTTATCCTACTCCTGTTCACAGATGATATATACTCTTTCATGGCCTCCTATTAACCAATGATACGTAACCCTTTCAGGCCTATTTTATCCTACTGTTAACAGATGATACATATTCCTTTCAGGCCTGTTTTATCCTACTCTTGTTAACAGATGATTCATACTCCTTTCAGGTCTATTTTATCCTCTTCCTGTTAAGAGGTACATACTCCTTTCAGACCTATTTTATCCTACTCCTGTTAACAGATGATACATACTCCTTTCAGCCCTATTTTATCCTACTCCTGTTAACAGATGATAATACTCCTTTCAGGCCTATTTTATCCTACTCCTGTTAACAGATGGTATAATCACTGATATGGACAAGACTAGAGATGCCATTGTTTATGCCTCAGGCCTGCCTATGTCCCTCATCATTGTGGGGGTAGGGGATGCAGACTTTACTGATATGAACTTTCTAGATGGGGATGATGGAGTTCTAAAGGGGGCCAATGGCAAACCAGCCTTGAGGGATATCGTTCAGTTTGTGCCTTTCAGAGACTTCAGGATGGTATGTAAATCAATTCTCTTTTTGTTCCCCAAAAACTGAGAAACATATGATAAATCAAATTTCATGTTACGTTTATTTTGCTGGACAATATCGCTGCATTTTTTAACAACAATTGTGAGAATTCTCCACACAGTAATATTAAGTTGCTTCTTTAATTGCCAAACACTTGCAAGATAATCTTGCATATTGAGTGTGCAAGTAAATATCTTCTGGATTAATTGAAATTTATCGTAGTAGCAAATGTATCGTATGTGTAAATAAAAAGACAAAATGCATGTATTAAGCTTTGAAATGACATTTTGATAAAACATAGATTAAATTTTAATAGGGTTGTTTGAATGAGAATGAACAAAAATAAATTTCAGCATTCCCATGAAAAAATATTTTTCAATGATTTCAGAAGAACCTTGAGGTTAGTAGAGATTGAATTTTCCTTGCAGAGACACTAATCTGTCCTGCACAGTGATTGTGGCTTTGAGCTTAATCATACAGTTAGCAATGTGAATAAATTCTATAACACATTTTGTAAAATGCACAAGTAGTACTTCTACAGTTTTCTCTTTGAGTTTAAGAATTATTTTAGCAATGCCTGCTCTTTGTAAGATTGTACCTTGACAACACTAGAGCTAGAATTAGGATTATTCATTAGTTAGTTTATATATAAAGATCTAGTTATTTCAATTAGTCAGAACGCTCCAAAAGAGTGTGACAAGGGAAAGAACTCTTATAAGCCCCCCTCACAGTAAATGTTCAGAAGTATTTAGTTTGTTACTAAAGGGGTAAAACATATAAACAAAAATATACCTTTTCAAAGAATTAATAGACTTGATTGAATGAAGAAGTCATTACATATTTATCTGCTTCAAAGCACAAATAATATTTCTAATCTGGATTTATTTTGATTATGGAGAATAAAATTGAAGTGATGATCAAAACTACCGGTAATAAGGTTTCATTGTACATTGTACATGTATTTCAAGTTTTACGTGTTTTTGATATTAATGAGGCATTTTCCCATTTTGCCACTGCAGCATTAAGGATCCTTAACCCTTGTCTCCATCACATGAGTTTCTTGCATTTCTGAAGAGTATCAGCAAAGGGATTAATTTTAAAATGTACATTGAGATACAAATTACATAAAATCTTAATACATGTAATTGCACTGTTTCTTTGGATCTGTAAGTTTCAGTTGTGTTAAATATACAGGAGATTTTTTTTCATAATATCATAAAGCTAATTAGGATTACAATGTCTTCCTATTTTTCAAAAGGAGGAATTGATCAAAATGTTTGTAGAAAGCATTGGAGATCGATCCACAATTTCCTAACCACAGACAACTTTAAAAAACCTTCCAAAACACCCCCACCTTTTCACATTTTTTCTGAATACATGTATTTTTCAAGATCTTAAATGATGTTATGTTAATTTTCAGTCTGCTAGTGCTGAGTTGGCACGCAATGTTTTGGCAGAGGTTCCACAGCAAGTGGTGCAGTACTATGAAATGAGGAAGATTCCTCCCAAACCAAGACCAGCCCAAACACAGACTTAAAAATAACAACGTCTGCAGGATCTAAATGAGACATAATGAGTGCTTATATAAAACCAGCACATCACTTGTGTAATATTTTAATGGTGCTAACGTGGTGTGGCTCTGTAAGTTATTAATGAATTTAATTGCATAAGTTAAATTTTCTCTTAAAGGTTTTTAGTAATACAATTTAGATACATTACATTTAGGTATGTAATTTTGTTTGTCAGGGTGCCCAATTTATGCATTATTTGTAAACAGGGATGCCTTTTTTTTTTAAATCTGCATTTCTCTGTAAGCATAATAAATAAATATGGTCTGTTCGATGCTTTGTAAATTGAAATCTTTTTGTTGAAAACTTTTTCAAATGACATGTACATTTCAGTGTTCCTCAGAAAAAAGATCTAGTGTAGATATATGTATTGGTATGTGTCAATTATTATAACCTTTTTTTTAGTGTGTAAATTAATATTTATTAGTTTATTAGTCTTGGTGCCTGTGTGTGTGTGTAAGAGAGAGAGAGAAGGGGGGGGGGTCTGAATTTGTACCTCATTTTCAAATTTAAGATTTCCTGCATTTTGAGGCTTCTTATTTCTCTCTTTTCTATTCAATACTTTTTATTATAAGTCTGTATTTACATATAACTGCTGTTGCAAATTGTATTTACATAAAAATTAAATATAATGAAAGGTAATGTAGTTTTGTTTCTTTTTATTTGTGAACAAGATTTTAACAAATATTAATTCCTACAACGTACTAGTACATTAAACAGAGTGCAGTTTTTAACAAATATTCCTAAAATGTACATGAAACAAAGTGCAGAATAATTAAACACATATTATACATGTTGATATGAAATTCAAGTAATAATCCCTGCAATGGCACTCAAAATCAACAAAGAATGACAGTCACATAAATAAAATCAAGTGAACAATTTAGCATAGATTTGATTTGGTGCACTTCTTATTTATGTATATATGTGCAAGACATGTAGCGTTGTACTTGATTTAGCAGAAGTTTCTTTCCGCGAAAGGCGCTAAAAATAATACCGGTACACAGCTAAATGTAATATGTTTACAGTATATTTGCTATAAGGAGAACAGATCTGCAGCTATGGACTTATATTTAGTACCTGAAGTGTTGCATGCAGATGCTGTTTAACATAAAAACTTAAGTACATATTATAAAATACCAGTCTTGAAGATTATGAAAACTATTAACTTTAGTCTTTATGACTATAATGATAAATCTCATCTAAAATTTAATTAAATTCAATTATTTAATTGCCATCCAATCTCAAAGCCAATCTTTGGTATACTAGTATTTTCAAATTCACTGGGTATTATTTGGAATCCAGCTAGGAAAAAAAAACATAACCTTACTGAATGTAATAATAAATATGATATTCAAATTATGTGGAAATATTCTGGGGCCCGTTTTACAAAAGAACTTATGACTAAGACCAAATATATCAGTTGATTGTATAGTTTTTCAAAATAAATTATTCTATTTAAAATTGATAGCATAAATGTACCTTTCTTAATTCTTTTTAAAACTATTAAAACAAAATCCAAATTAATGTTCCATAGAGAGTAGTAAGTGGAATTATATGTTGGTCTTAGTCGCAAGTTCTTTTGTAAAACTGGACCCTGAATTACATTTATACATGCATATGAAACACGATGCTGATAAAATGTCTGCATAGTGTACAAAGATTTCATATTTAAAAGTACTGTAAGGCACAAAACAATAAAAACAAATTCTCAAGTTCTTATAATTTAGATATAGTAAAACCTTATTATCACAAACTCGATGGGACTGACTGAGTCTAGGCCGACAAAAAACTCTGAAGATTCAAGAATAAATGATAAGTGGTTGGCACTTCCAAATTACTTTGACATACCCATGGTATTTATTTGAGATATTGGTGTTCAAGAAACCGAAGTTTAACTGTATATACAACAAATTACAACAAAACTTAAAGCCTGAAACATCCTGCATTTTACTGATGGTCAATTATATCTCTATATTTCTTAGGTATGTTACATAATTAAGATTATTGAATCCTTAAGGATTACTTACATTTTGTGTGTATAGATAATCTTTCTTTTAAGACTCTATGCAGAAGAGTAATCTTTAACCTCCTTGGTCAAAGGAAATGAATCAATATTACAAAATATGTACCGGTAAGTCTGCAAACTGTGGTAAGCTAAGACCTCAACTTAACTGATAAACAATGGCTAATAAAAACAGTACGTATCCAGTATAGCACAATGTCTGGAGACAGCCATAAATCCATGATTTAGGAACACATCAAAAGCACACACACTTAAATACATTCAATTTTAAAATCTTGAGATCAAGAAAAAAAAAATGAAAGAATGTTTGTTCAGACAGCATGTAAAGTAATGAATGTAATTTCCTGAGTTGTCATGATGCGAACTGGAAAGCCCCAGTATACTGTTCCCATGGAAACATAAACATGGCTGTTGTCTCCATAGTGATATAATCCAGCATAGAATGGATTAAAGAGGTAGGCTCCAAAAACCACCGGAGGAAACTGCCCACCATGTGTGTGACCTACAAAAAGTTGTTAAATATATGTATTGTTATATGATTACTTTTATATGCAATGTTATGTATGATTAATACTTTTTTTTTAAATCTATTGGACAAATGGATAGCAGATTGGAATAAATCATTTAAACCAGGATATACTATCAGTTTGAAATTGCTTCTGCTTTGACATTATGGGTCTATAGCAGCAATTAAAGATATGAATTCACTGGATGTCCAACTAGAAATAAGAATACAGCTTGTTTCAAGTTGGATAACTGCATGGGAAGCTTAAATTTCAATTTGAAATTCAATGAAAAAAAGATATCACTGTGTCAGAGAGATGAAATTTTTTTAAAGTTTCAAGAAAAAACAGTTCCGTCTGCTGTTTTAGTGCATTAATGAATTTCTTTTCTCCAAGCATTTAATTTATTGTACCTGAGAGGACTAGGTCTATATGGTGATCAGACTGAAGTGCCATTTTAGCGGCTTTAGGTTGATGTGCCAAGAGGATGATGGGTTGCCCTGGATTACATCCCTTTACAGCTTTGTCCAGTTTGAATCCATGGTGATCATACCTTAATTTTGCAAATTAATTTATTAACTGATTTATCTATATTCCTGTTTACAAAAATTACTATAGGCCTAGAGTATAAATATTTTGAAATTATCTGTGGTAAACTTTCAGTATTCTTATTCAAATGTTGCTGGTATAAAAGATTCACTTAATAAAATAAGTGTGTACCAATAGATAAATGTTTTATTACCTGTATTATAATTTTATTTTTTTTTTTACTATTAAAATAATTATGAGTTTTTGAGTTTTATACATTATCCTGTCTGCCTCAATGTCATCGGTTCCAGCCATACACATCTGCTCCTTTGGATCCACTCCTGGGGGGATCTGTCTATTACTGTTGTGGAGGACCTTGATCCCTAGAGAATCCAGGTGGGCTAACCAGTTATTGGCATCCATGGTATAGTACTCATGATTCCCTGAAATCAACAAGTATAGAAAAATACACTGCTAAACTTGTAACAAGGGTGGATCCAGTGAAGAGTCAAGATTTTGAGTGCAAATTGATTTAAAATTACTAATTCGCCTACAACGAAGCTTCATAAGACTTCTCTCCATTCTGAGTTGGATATTTTTCCCCTCCCCTTACTGGTAACTTGGTACCATTTACTAGGTACACATAATGTTCCAGCCATACACGTCCCTACTGTGTTGCACTTTGTCCAATATTTGGGGATAGCTTTGCTGATACAAATTTCTTGAAAAAAAAAATTGTGGACTTTTTGACCAAAAGTTAGGAGAGATATTGATGGGATGGATTTTTATTACACCCAATCTAATTAGAATTATATCTTCAGCTTTTAATACTAAAATTAGTGTTCTGAATCCACTATTGTTCATTTGAGAAGTAGTAGGGGATTCGGAACACTATAGGTTGATTGAGATCTGTTGGGTTTATACCGATATGTGTCCCAATAATTACGGTACTAAAAACTCATATTTTGAACTCTGTTTAGAAAACAAGTAAAAAACATCACCAAAAACAGATAGATGTATCAGGTTACTAACAATTTTCTGTACCAAATATTGTTTCCAGCCCCACATTAATTGTTACTAGCCCTACATGGAATTCAATATTTCCTCTCTCTCTCTCTCATTCGCAGGAATGTGTTATGTTTGAGCTACAATAAAAATTTACTCTCATAATGGAAAATCTGCTACCTGTCACATAATTTATCCCGTATCTTGATTTGATATTGGTAAGGCTTTTAGAAGACTCTCTCAACTCTTCCACTGGACCATCAACCAGATCACCAACAATAACCACAGTATCTGCAGAGAGAAAATAATATTGACACAGAGTTGTCATAATTGGGAAATCTTCATAGTCTTTTTTAAGAATCTTTGATAATCTGCATTCATAATTCTATTTTTGCATCATTCTATTTTTGCGAGAGCAAATTTCAATAATATAGTATTATATAACACCTTAACTCTAACCATTCAAAAACATTTACCTGTATTTAGACCGTTTACCATGGAAACGATTCTGTCCAATTTGCTCTTTCCTACTGTTACTCCAAGATGTATATCAGACAACAATGTTATTGTAAAGCCTTCCAGTTTCTGAGGTAGATTTCTGATTGGAATTCTTACATTTTTTATCACAGGTGGCTTTTGCGAGTTTGTGAAACCATACCCAGTTAGAAAGAATGTCAGAATAAATGCCACAAAGTATATCTTCTTATTGTGAAATGCTTTGCCTTTCAAAACTTTGCATGATAATTCAAGCAATTTAAAGAGAATGATGAGGAACACAAATTGAAATTGTACAGCTAGACATAAATAGCAAACAATAGAGAATACAACTGGTTCCGTTCTCACAAACAATACATTACACAAGTAACTTGAATGGACTAGCAGAGAATATAGAACTAGAAATGTTCTCCATATCTTAGACATAAAACTCCTTCGTGGTGACGGAGAAGCATCGAAAAAGGTAGCCAACGATCGCCACACCATCCAATCTGCAATTAGCAATGCTATTTGCATGAAAAACACAAACTGGGCTCTGAGAATACGCCCCCTTGTTTGAAAATCCAAAGACAGGACCCATGTTTCTGCTAAGATAATGCTGATAACCACAAAGATTCCTCCTAAAATGTAGGAAAACTTTGATCGGATTGACTCCATGAATGATGAAGGCAATATTATTCCTCGGTCAATGTTCAATAGCGTTATATAACTATAATCCTTAAACAGATTCAGTGTATCTGAACAGACCACATTGTAATAATACGATTAAAATAAACTACATTTAGGCTAACCATCAGAATTTTGTTGAACAATCTTTGATTAAGGTATCATTTAATACCGGTCAACGAGGTTAAAACGAAAATATAAAATTAATGGTGTAAGCGACCTTTGAGTATTTTAGATAAGTTTTACCTAAACATTTCGTACCTAGGTTCTTCAACCAAAGTTACACAATCGGCAATGAAAGTAATCGAAGTAAATTTTAAAAAAAAAATTATGAGCAGCCAGTTTTTGTCTGCTTGAGATATAAAGATACTAGACTTCTAGACTTAAAATTAAAACCAGCTGTATATGAAAGAAGATTAAACGCATTGGATGTGTTTCGCAGAGTTCGTAGCAGTAGCAGAAGTGAGTTATGATCGAGATCTCATACATGAAATTTTAAATTACTCAGCTGAGTAATTTTTAATTAAATCACTGGCGGATTTAGAGGGGGCAGGAGGCCCGGACCCCCCTTTTTGGTGTCCAAAAATATATACAAGATTTAATAAATCACTTTGTGTGTGTGTGTGTGTGGCCCCTGGGCCCCCACCCTGGTCCCCTAATTCGTCGCCCCCCCCTTTCAAGAATCCTAGATCCGCCACTGGAAATTGCCATTTATGCATGTGATTATATGGCAAGCAATGCTCTAGATACTGTAGTGTTTTATTGCGCTTTCTCTTTTTTTGCTATATGGAGGGAATGGGGAGGATAGGGAGAATGAACAATTAAACTTTTGAAATCCTCACGCCTGGGTTGAGAAAAATAAATGAATTAAGTCTTAGCTCCAAGGAATTGGTTGAGAATTACCTTGTGCACCAGTTTACTATAAAGATATAACTTTTTATGGAAAACTATAGTTTACATGCACAAATCTCAAATGATAAACGGGTCAAATGATCTCTTTTGGAGAACAGTAGTCCAAGTCCTACAGAAAAAAATAAAAAATCTGGAAATAATGACATCAGAAAGCTAGTATATTACAAAATCTTTTCTCGAAATCTAGAAATACATGTAATATTATTTTCTCGCAATAACGTGATGATTTTCTCGTAATTATAGTGATTACTGCATGGGGCGTGATTTTTTAAATTCGTAAAAAGCACAGAAAATTTCAAGTTGATTTATAATTATTTCAATGTCCAAACTGTTAGAATTTGTAAATCTTTACGCTGCGTTGAAGGTTTCTTTTATGCAATTTGACCAATAAACTTAATATTCTTTTTCTCAAATTAGTACTCTTTTTCGGTAATATTTTTGTCAAGACGTCCGTTAAGACGGGTCTAGCTGATTTAGAAAAATAAGTTTGGTACATTTAGAAACGTTTCAGACACAGATCATTGAGCAAGGCCTACCAAAGAGGTGAAAATGACAAACCTGAATAACTCCTCCGCGGAACCTAGCTGTTAAAACACCTCGGTTTTTAGGGTGGGGGTTAATAACAGAAGCAAGACAAGCTCAGTTGGTTTGTGCTCTTTGCTCAGTGAATACTGTTATTTTTTTTTTAAACCATGACTCGAATCCCGTTTGAACATGAACAAGCTAATACATTTTTATGATCTCAATCATAGGCCAAGAATTCAATGGTTATTGGCACCAAACAAACATGGTCAATATAGATCTCAGATTATTGTGTCTCCAAAATGTGTCATTTAACTTAAAATCAATTTATGAAGCAGTCACGTGGGCTGACTTTTTACAACTATAGTGTGCAACAGAGAAGCATCAGTAACTTTTAAAAGTTTCCCAGTGTGATATTGGTGGACAGCTTGGTCATAGAGAGTGCCTATACAGGTCATAATTTTGAGTAAGAAAAGAAAAGACACGTGATCATACCCATTAGATTTTTAGCATACCTTAATCATTTCCAGGTTTGGAAGCGCCGAATTAATTACAGAAATCTTTGGTCATTTGAAGATCTAATTCTTTCAATTATTGCATAATAATTAATTGATGGCAAATGACAGGGACGTAGCATGACGCTTCGAAGTGGGGTCAGAAAAATACAGCTTAAACGGGGTGAGAGAGAGATAATATGAGTAGCCAAAAAGTTCCTCGAAAAAAAAGAAAAAAAATATTTCGTGGGCGGTTATTTTCGACGAGTATCAAAAAGAAGGCCGGGGTCGATTTTTTGGAAATACATATCTCAAATACATACATATAACTTCATGTATGTGTGTATTTTATTGTTGAATACTCAGTTAAAATGAGAACAAATGTTTTCTTTCTTTAAAGAAAAACGACATATGTGTAAAAAATGAATTGGGTAATTCTTTAGAGGTGATTATTGAATCTATTCTCATATCTTATTACACTGTATAACTTCTATTTCCTTTGCTCATTGATAGAAAGAAACGTTTCATATACAGTGTTCCAACATTATTGTTTCACGTTCAATTCAATGTGTACTTTTTGTGTATCTATCGATGTCGACCAACAAAAACATTTTGGGCTTTTATCCCCTCCCCCTAACTATTTGAATTTAGTTTTTGGTCGTAGATCTTTTGGATCTCGCAAATTAATCATACTCTATGCTTCCCACTGTTTGGAGCGTATAACGGAAGTGGATAGATATGACGACGTCATATAGATGGAATCTCAAGAAACGTCACAGTGCACAATCACGTTACGTCATAATAACGCTCGCTGCATAGTTTCATGTGTACAATTTAAAATGGATCGCTTTAATATTGTAAGACATCCTAACACACTCTGGATTCAATTTGAATGTGAATACATTGTTCCGAATGAAGGCTTTGTTTTGGCAGTTTGTGGCTCTATCCCCGAACTTGGGAACTGGAATGCCAGCGCTGCACTCATTGCAGGTAAATCTCAAATTGCAAGACATTAAGAGGCAGTCCACCGAAAAACCAGGCAGTATTGTATTAATAGGCGGCACATCGAATGTGAGGAATATTTGATATTTTATTAAAAACAATATCAATGTAGCCCAAAAGGAATAATGTAATTGAAGATTTGTTTGATAATTGCTTATTTAGTAAAATATCCTTGTGTTTTGTGTTTTTGAATGCCCTATATAAACCATTGAATGTAGGTCAGAAACAAAGAACTGTAATTTCTAATACATTTTTAACAGGACTATAATTCACATTTAACTAAATCTTGAAATATTTCAAATTTTTGTTTAAAAAATAAAATCGGTGGGAAAAACACTTTTGATAGTAGTTTTCCGGCAAAATAAAAGGACGTTTTTATGAAATTTTGCGATGCAAGAGTTATCTCCCGTGGCATCGGTAAATCTGCTCAACACCTTTTTATCGGAATCCTGGTGAAATATTTAGAATCGATACACTAAAGAAAATAATTAAACAAAAAACTAAATAATTTATTTTCAAAATATATTTCATTTTCGCCTCCAGACGTAATATTTAGATTAAAATTGGCTCTATTATTCAGGTTGAATCCACGTTTCCATTGATGTATCAGTGACGTCATATACCTGACTAATATTGCGTCACAATGAAATAGTTACAAGTTTCTAGAGAAGTTTGTAAATTCTTTGCGTAAAAGATTTAAAAAAAAAATGATTTCTCTTTTTCTGTTTAATTACTCTTCAGAGTGCATTATTCTAAATGTTAAATAATATTTTAATATCCAAATGTATTTTATACACGGGCGGCGTCTCAGCTAGATGACGTTTTGATAAGTAATTTTATACATGTCTGAGAACTAATTTTTTTTAACTGATTTACTAGGATATGCGTAAAAATAATTAATGAAGTGTTTATCATGAACATTTCTTATAAAATTGGGAATCAATGATGAATGTTTTAGATTTACGCAATACTTAATTCAACGAAGTTGAAATGTTTACTTCATGATATTTGTAAAAACTTAAATATATTTATCTATGCAGTCAAATCAAAATAAACAATCCGAAGTACGATTAAAAATGAAAAAAAAAAACCTGAAAAATAAGTTATAAAAATATATATATTGAGTTAAACTACTGCTGAACTCCCCACTATAATTTGGCACTAAAACGGAAGATGGTTTAGTGAAACATTTCGGGTTTTTTTTTTTATTTTACTTATTTATTTTTTTAATTTGGCGATTGAAACAATCACACACTCACATTTAATATGGAGTTTAAACATGTGACTATGTTGGCCAATTCTAAAATGTTTTCACGTTCATGAAACCAATTTTTAAAAATAATGACGTCATGACCCCCCCCCCCCCTGCTTTTTGCTTGCGATTTATCGGCTCTTGAATAATGATACTATATATGAAAGAACTTATTTTCTTATTTATATAAAATCAAATTATGTAAAAGAGGAAAAGGCTTTACAGATGACAGGTAAGAAAAAAATTGGATAAAGTCGAGACTGTACACATAAAAATATTTCCTGTATTTAGGCAAGTTTAATTTCGCCACTGATAGAATTTACTCTTTAATTCCTGAGGAAATAAAAAATAAATTTTACTTGGAAATAAGATAAATAATAAAGCTAGAAAGCTGTCTGCTCTCATTTGTTGCATAATGCATGTACAAATACTTTTTTTTAAATACCGAGTATCTATTAAGAATTCAATCAGATGTTTTACATGTAATCTTCATGTACGTAAAAGACATTAGTAATTTAAATAATATATAAATTTGAATCTATGGTTACACTCATTTAAAAACAGTTAACTGACTGAAAAGAAATAAAAGACAAGCATATTTTTCTGATAAATTAAAATGAAGAGCCAAATTTAGGAAATGTTTCTAAATTTACAGTAAAACCGATCCCGATCCGATCGAAAATAATGCAAAATTAACAAATTTATCAAACTAAAGGCACCTTCCAACCGTATATAGCATGTTAAAAAAATAAATCAAGTAAATTTTTACTCATATTACAACAAAAGAGCCAAATTTAACATTACAATTATAGTATTTTTTTCTTTATATAATTCCGGTCGGGATCGGTTTCATTTGGGAAAATTAAAAAAAAAAAGAAAAAAAAGGTAAATTTGACTCCTTTTATTTCTTTCAATATACCTGTTCCCACTGATTTTATTGAGTGATTCAAAAGTTTGTACTTTGTATTCATAATAACATAAGAAAAAAAATCTGTCCTTGTAATGTATTGGGTTTTATAACGTAATGAAAATTGGATACTGAATTCAAAAAATTACTTGCTTAACTCAAATTTGGACCATATAATTTTTTCTAAAGAAGTATAAATTGGAGGCTTATTCATTAATAAAATAAAAGATAAGAGTCTATGCTATAAATAATATTCATCGACACATCCAGCTTTTGAGTATCTGTTACATATAAAACAAAATAAAAACTTAGTAATTATTTTTACCCTTATGTTGACCTTTTTGCACTTAAAATTAAGCATTTACCAAAAATAGGACTAGAGGAGCACTAAAATTTTTTTTAATGTTGTCATGTGTAAACAAGTGCTTTAATAAGTCTACATGCAAAAAATAATTAAAATCCATGACAAGCGATGTGCCACCCATTGCCTGGTTTTTCGGTGGACTGCCTCTTAATATTGTTTAAACTTGCACATCGAAAATCGGTATTCTCGATATTTGTTTTTTTAACCAAAAATCAAACAGGGTCCACTATTTATTCCTGGGTAGTGGGGGGGGGGGTATTCACTTAAAAAAACATATTTGAGTTGTTTGTTACGAAAGCCTAGAAGGTTAAATAAGAAAATGAAGAAAAAAATTAAAAAGTCGTTATTACGAGATAAAAAGTCGTTAATACGACTTGCGAAACGAGAAAGAGAATAATGTTATGTTTTTGTTGGTATTTTTGCTTTAGCTCAGCATTTAAAGAACTCTGGAAAGTGGGTCGCTGGGATCCACCTACCGGCAAACTCTACATTTGCTTGGAAGTGGGTGGTTCTTCAGCGGCCAAACCTTACTCCTTACCGGTGGGAAGAAACCCAAAACAGGGTTGCCGTCCTTGGGGAACATAATGGTACATTTTTGGCACCGTGGAACACGGAAATGGCCTTTGATGTGGTTCCATTCACAAGACCAAGAGGTATTATCTACTGAACTATATTTAAAATAATAATTGCAGACCCCTTTTGGGGCAAACTAGTACTATTTAGAATGACGAAATAAATGATAGATGTACACTTTTGTTTTTCTTCAGATGATGATAGTTTTTGGACAGACGATGACGCAAAACAACTCAAGACACTGCAGAACTTAATAGCACAGCAGACAAAATATGAAAATGCTAGTCCAGATGAACCAAAAGTACAACCCCCAAATCAACCAGCAACACTTCTCGGTAGAGGAATTCTAGATATAATCTTAAGGCTTCCTCGTTGCGTGGGATCCATTGCCATGTCTACCATTGAATTTATTAAAAACAAATTTGTCAGTTTTTGGCAAAGTCGACACAATCAAGATGATGCTGGTGCTGTTAGAGATTTGGGTACATGGGTGTAGGAACAGTACACCGCGGTCGAATATATAGTTCAAATGATTTTCCTTCCAATTCGTCATTGGAAACTTGCCCTTTACAGCTGTAAAGAAGGAAATTTTAATGGAAAAAATAAAGGAAAACTTTGGGGGAAAGTTATTTTATTTTTGCTGTCTCTCTACCGAAGTATCCAATGTCCCAAAGATATCGCAGCTGGACATTGCAACAAAAAGTCCAAGATCAACTGCTAAACCCATGGAACATTTGTACAATACCTACCGATGTTCTCACTCTGAGCGGGATTTGAGAATTACCGAAAGTTCAACTGTGTATAATTTCACCCAATTATATGTCTCCGTGGATATTAAAGAATGAGGGTGGTTCAATTTCGTTGATGGTGATAAAAAGATGATCTTTTTTAAACGCTTTTTATTAAAAATAAAGATTACTGTGTAAATAGTGTTCTTTTTTCATCACTCATTTACTTGTAATAAATTTTGAACAAAACAAAAAACAAAAACAAAAAAAAAACAACATGAATTTAAGAAAATAGTAAGGGTCTTAAAAAGGAATGGTCTTTGATAAAAAAAATTTTGCAAATTACGGGAATGTCAATTCACCAAAATAACGAAGGCATTGATTTTAAATTTGTCATGATTGGGCCATTGTGGATAATTTATAGAGCTTCTTTCGTTTATGGCATCACTCTTTTCTTTTTAGATAAACCTGATATATGTTTCTTAACGCTGACTTACAATGACTTTGTAGCGCATTTGTGTCACAATGGCTACAAAGCAAGAGCTCTTAGGCGATGAACCATACATCCATTGCTGGTAAATGGTAACATCACTGTCTAAAGCTGTTAATACTAGTAATTAAAATAACACAGTATTCGAGGAATTGGACCGTCCTAGCACCAGAACCCCTTACCCTGGGGCCATGAAATTCACAATTTTGGTAGAGGACTCAATGCTTATTACAAGCATGCCAATAGTTTGAATGCTTGATGTCCAGAAGTAAAGAAGAAGGTTTTTAAAGATTGCATTAAAGAACTACGCACGCTAACTTTCGATTCCCGCCTACATTTTACACCCATTCAATTTAATACTAATGGCAATTTGGCCATAAAATCTTTGTTGAATGCAAGGACGAGTTAAATGGAAATTGAGTAATAATTTTAATACCTGTGTTAAATAGTTAATTAATCTTAATTCCAGGTCTTTTTATAAGGGGGGTAGACGATGTTTTCCATTAAAAACAGGCTTGAAGGCATCAGCATATTTTAAAATATTCTTGGATATGGATAAATGTTCTTTAAATCTTTCCTTATGTTTAACACATATAAAATCAAACATATATAATTGATAAAATACAACGTTTAAGTTGTAAACCCCTTCGAAATTGGTGAAAAAATAAGCATTTTTGTTGTCTTTTGTCTGTAAACATATCCCCCCCCCGTGAAACACAAAAAGTTTTGGTATGAATTTGAGAAATAACAATCCATATCACCTGTAAAAAGGAATTTTTGTTTCTCGGGGGAGGGGGGGGGTTTAAAAAAATTCCATTTTCCATTTATTTCTATAGTGAAAAACACAAGTTTTACCAAAATAATAGAGTTATCTCTCTTTGTTTTCCCAAATAAGTAATGTTTTAGGAAAATTCATATAAATGTCTATATAAATATGAAAAATCATTCAAATATGTTAACTTTTTGAAATTTGACTTGGAGGTAGTATCATGTTGTAAATTTTGAATTTACTGGGGGGAGGTAAATGCAAAATTTACAACATGTTATCATGTTGTAAATTTTGCATTTACCTCCCCCTAGTAAATTCAAAATTTACAACATGATAGTAGGCGGGAGAACAAAACTATCGTTCGCAGTTCTTTGGTGGTTTTAGCCCCATCCCTCAGGCCCCAGGGAGTCGCCCGCGTGGCGCAGTGGTTAGAGCGTTCGCTCTAGAGTCACGGAGTAAGGAGTTGATCCTTACGTTGCGGGTTCGAATCCCACTGTGGGACGTGGTGACCGGTCCTTCGGATGAGACCGTATAGACCGAGGTCCCATGTCGCAGTAGGTGCTGGCACGAAAAAGATCCCTCACTGCTTAATGGCCCTGAGTGCCGAGTATAGGTAAATATTTGCAGCTCTCCACCGGCAAGTGGTGGCGTCTCCATATGAGTGAAAAATTCTTTCGAGGGACGTCAAACAATAAAAACAAACAAACAGGCCCCAGGGGGACAGGGGCCGTGAAATTCACAATTTTTTGTTTCCCTTCACCCATAGATGCTATATGCCACAATTGGTTCAGCGGTTCCAGAGAAGAAGTTGAAAATGTTCAAATGTTAACGCACGACGACAGACAAAACGGATAGCAATAGGTCAACTGAGTGACTCAAGAGACCTAAAAACTATTTTGTGGGTTGTTATTTTCGACAAGTATCAAAAAAGGGAGGTCGCTTTTTGGAAATACATATCTCAAATACCATGCATATAACTACATGTATGTATGAATTATTTCATTGCTGAATTTTCAGTTAAAATGAGAAAAAAATGTTTCCTTCTGTAAAGAAAAACGACATATGTGTAAGGATGAATTGGGTAATTCTTTAGAGGTAATTATTGAATCTGTTATATTGATAAAGAAAAGCAATGTCCGACAAAGAACCCAATTCTCATAGTTTTCATCAAAAGCCCCACTCCCCACCCCCACACCCCCCATTCCCCCAAAAAATCGAAATGTTGTGAATGTTGATTTGAAATTAATTATTTTAAAGTCCTCATATGAATATCTAATGACACTGTAAATAACTTTTATTTCTTTTGTTAATAGATACAAAGAAACGTTTCAAATACTTTTTGCGTAATTATCGACGTCGGCCAACAAAAACATTTGGGCTTTTATCCCCCCCCCCCCAAACTATTTGAAATTTAGTTTTTTGTCAGACATCGATCTTTTGATCTCGCCCCTCTCTATCCAGAGTTGTTCCCGCTACGCTCTCACATACCGTAATGGAAGACAACTCTGGATAGTGTGTGGCCCCTAAATATGACGACGTCATAGAGAATCTCAAGAAACGTCACAGTGCACAATCACGTTACGTCATAATAACGCTCGCTGCATAGTTTCAATTTCATGTGTACAATATTAAAAATGGATCGCTTCAATATTGTAAGACATCCTAACACACTCTGGATTCAATTTGAATGTGAATACATTGTTCCGAATGAAGGCTTTGTTTTGGCAGTTTGTGGCTCTATCCCCGAACTTGGGAACTGGAATGCCAGCGCTGCACTCATTGCAGGTAAGTTTTAAATTGCTAGACATTAATATTGTTTTAACTTGCACATCGAAAATCGGTGTAAGCTCCCCGGGAATGACCAAGCTTAAGTTGGGGACGCTACAAAATAATAACTGGCAGCTAGTACTCCTGTACTAAAATCCTTGGTCCCTTGGTACATGTAATACGGAAAACATAAGATTCATCTTGGTCTCAATAATATTGATAAATCACAATGCAGTTTTCATTTACACAGGTACAATTGATATTGGTTGGTGGCGTCTACCGTACAGACTACTATTATAAAAGGGGGGGGGGGTAAATGGCTTTAGTAGGATGATCTCCAAAAATTAAATAGGTGTCCAGTGTGTTGGGAGATAATTGTCGAACATTTTCTCACTTGGAATCAGAACAGTATGGCTATGGTGAAAATATGGGCGGATCTTGGATCTCTACTTTGAATTTACGCGCCTGACAACTCGGCATATTATCTGTTAGTCTTGTCCCATGATCCCTTGCACTTCGTTATCGGGAGTGCAAGGGATCATGGGACAAGACTAATTATCTGTTGACATAATGCGATCGCCTCCTATATATAACCTTCGGAAAAGGGTCACATGACAAGATTCAACCAATACAAATGCTGTACGGCGACGTTCCACCAATCACGACAATGACATCGTACAAAATAAAAATCGTGTCAGTCGTACTGTCAAAGAAAGTTGTCGTACAATATGGATTATAAACAAATACAGGGATTAAGATGTGAAAAGACAAAATAATCAATAAATATGGATTACAAAAGATGTGTTTATAATAAGTAAGTAAACAAAATAAATGCAAACTTTAACATTCCTGACCAATTTTGGCACAAAGTTTTGACACACATGAAATAATATTACAAGTTAAGTTCACCCGCCCTACTATTATTACACAGTAAACCATAGTGAAATTTTAGACATTGGACAGGTCCTTACATCGGTATTCTCGATATTTGTTTTTGTTTTGTTTCTTTTTAACAAAAAATCACACACAGGGTTCACGATTTACCTTCCCCCCCCCCCCCCTCTTTCCGGCCCCTTCCTATTTTAGCTTTTGTCATCAGCGAAGGATTATCACTGTGAATTACAAAACTGCTTATACATAATATTGTAAATTTCTTGAACCCAATAAAAATAAAGTCAAAATTTAAAATAATATCCTGAACGTTAAATGTTCTTTACTATTTTGATAAAACTGCAAGAGGAGTTTAACAACAATAACAAATGCAAGGGAAAAAACTAGTTATTGCAGTTTTTTTAAAGAATTTGTGGCGAAGGGATATTTATATCCTATGCTGACTGAAAAAAGATTAATGTTATGTTTTCGTTGGTAATTTTGCTTTAGCTCAGCATTTTAAGGACTCTGGAAAATGGGTCGCTGGGATCCACCTACCGGCAAACTCTACATTCGCTTGGAAGTGGGTGGTTATCCAGCGGCCAAACCTTACTCCTTACCGGTGGGAGGAAACTCAAAACAGGGTTGCCGTCCTTGGGGAACATTACGGTACATTTTTGGCACCATGATACACGAAAATGGCCTTTGATGTGGTTCCATTCACAAGACCAAGAGGTATTATCTGAACTGTATTTAAAATAAGAATTTTGACCGCAAACTGTATTTAGAATGACGAAATAAATGATAGAAGTACACTTTTGTTTTTCTTCAGATGATGATAGTTTTTGGACAGACGATGACGCAAAACAACTCAAGACACTGCAGAACTTAATAGCACAGCAGACAAAATATGAAAATGCTAGTCCAGATGAACCAAAAGTACAACCCCCAAATCAACCAGCAACACTTCTCGGTAGAGGAATTCTAGATATAATCTTAAGGCTTCCTCGTTGCGTGGGATCCATTGCCATGTCTACCATTGAATTCATTAAAAACAAATTTGTCAGTATTTGGCAGAGTCAACACAATCAAGATGATGCTGGTGCTGTTAGAGATTTGGGTACATGGGTGTAGGAACAGTACACCGGTCGAATAGTTCGAGAGCATAATTTTCCTTCCAATTCGTCATTGGAAACTTGCCCTTTACAGCTGTAAAGAAGGAAATTTTAATGGAAAATATAAAGAAAACCTTTTGGGGAAAGGTTTTTTTTGCTGTCTTTCTACTCGACGTATCCAGTTCTCAATCTGATTGTCCCAAAGAAATATCAGCTGAGGACTGCAACAGTCCAAGATCAACTACTAAACGTAAGGAACATTTGTTTAATACTTGCCGATGTTCTCACTCACTGAAAGGATTCGAGAATTACCGAGAACTGAGATAAAGTGTGTATAATTTCGCCCAATTATTTGTCTCTGTGGATATTAAAGAATGAAGGAGTGATTCAATTTTGTTGATGGTGATAAGAAGATAATTAAATCTTTTTTATGCTTTTTAATAAAAAAATGTTACTGTGTTAATAGTGTTCTTTTCTCATCGTTCATTTACCTCTGATAAACTTTTAACAAAATGAACATGAATTTAAGAAAATAACAAGGGTCTTAAAAAGGAATGGCCTTTGATAAAAATTCTTCAAGTTGCAAGTAAAGCAAACTGGGAGGTCAATTCTCCAAAATAACGAAGATATTGATTTTTATCATGATTGGGACATTGTGGATAATTTATAGAGCTTCTTTCGTTATATGGCATCACTTTGCCTTTTAGATAAACCTGATATATGTTTCTTAACACTGACTTCACATAGGTTTACTTTGCACATTTCACAATGACTTTGTAGCGCATTTGTTTCACAATGACTACAAAGCAAGAGTTCTTGGGCGACAAACCATGCATCCATTGCTGGTAATTGGTAACAACACTGTCTAAAGCTGTTAATACTAATAATTAAAATAACACAGTATTCGAGGAATTAAAATTCATTTCCTCCAAGAAGGAAATTTCATAGACATATGTAAGTAATACAGATTTTATGACAGTTATATTTGGCCTTAATTTTGCATAGCCAGAAAAAAATGCAACGTTTCTGAAAAAAAAAAATCAATGAAGTGAATTTTCTTTGATTATTGCAAAAGCTGTAAAGCTTTGAATCCTTTTGATACAATGGTTAATTAAAGATTAATTTTAACCTGATATTTGGAAGTATTGTCTATTTTGATGTGTATGTATATTATGTTGCCAAATAAAACGAATGCAATATGACTACCTTGATAAAGAACGAAAGAGCTGTATATTTTATTAGCAAAGTCGGAACATTCAACTAAAACTCAGACATTGGTAACCAAAGAAGTTGTTTATATCTTAAATCTATATGATAAGAAATTTTAGGCGGTGTCAAAGTAACTTTTAGGCTTGTTTAATTACCACAGTGGATTAAATAATGGGATATGACCATAAGGGAGGAACACCTGATCCATCTTCCCTTCCCTCTGTAATTGTATTGTCGTTTACTGATTTTTATTTGAAAATCAAAACAAGTAGACGACTATGGGTTATTTATGAAGGGGGTATATTTTTTTATTAAAAGAAAAATAAATAACGTCAAATGCCTATGACTACAAACTTCCTCTGGGTCATATATAGTTTCCTTTGCGTGCGTAGACCAACTAAGCTAACCCCCCCCCCCCCCCATCCCACTACAGCCAATCGTCAAGCACCTGCTGCAGTCAGACCTCGGGATCATTGAGAGTTCTCTGCTCAGCTGACTGTGATATCAATATCTTGTCCTGCAAACAGTCACTTTACAGATGAACAATTATGATAAAATCCTAATACAAATCACTCTCGCCCCTCCATCTTTTTATACAAATGAGCTTGTTTTGAAGTTAGATGACGTAATTGGTAGATTTCTAACATTAAGATGGAATGGTTGTCCTGGCGATTTAAAGTTGTAAGACTTAAAGTGCATGATAGAACAGCTTTCTATGTGTTTAGTGAAAAGGTAGTTAACGGTTTATCTATATTCAGTATTATTTAAAACGTGTTTTTATAAAAAAGAATCATTCATTTGGTGTCATTCATTCATTTACTTTCCATAACGATATATTAAAATAAAAAGTATGTATACATAATTATACACTAGACAAAACGCACCATTTGTTATTATCGTTTGTTAATTGAACATTTGCCTAATCGGCACTAATATATCTAATACCGGTATGTCATCTTTCCCAATACAGTGGAATTGAAATATGTCTTGCAATTGGTGTCATGAGAAGACCTTTAATTAAATGACCTTCTTGTCCGAAAACCAATTTCCTGGCATGCACTTTGCACCGTTTTTGCCTCGATATGAAGTTTATTCTTCTGATGGTGGCCCGAGAGGTTGAACCAGAAGCAGTTTCCCAGTCAAAAATCAAATTATATACATGTACATCGATTGCATGACTTTCATATCGCCTAGTATAGACACCCAGTCCCTTGGTGCACATACCCAGTACACACAACTTCCGGTTACCCCAATTTTGTGGAACAATCTTCAAATTGTCTTGTGGTGAGTACTTAATGCCATTGCTATCTATAGAAAACATTTTTATGTTCGTCAATCTATTAGTAATGTGTGGGAAGAGGTTCTCAACAATACGTGGTTATAAATGTCAACACAGACTTACTAGTACATGTATACATAGAATACTAGTACATTGTGTATTAGTATAGATATCAGGTATCGCTACAGTATGTACGTATGTTTGATGGATCAATTAATAAACAAGTACATTCTGCATTGTTATATGGTTTATAAATCATGTTTCAGACTAGAATCAGTTACTTTATAACAGTAAACTCGAGTCTGGTGACACATTTTAGACAGGCATAGAAAATTGTGCGAATTGAAGAAATTCACCACAAAACACTCATAAAAATTATAAAAATCAGTGTCAAATGTTCAGTTAATACCTTAGAGTCCCTTGTCACCTTACGTGTCCTTCCGTTTTATTATCGATTCATACGTTACAGGTGATGTAAAATTATCCCGATAAAGATGAAGTTGGCGATACGAACTCCATCACAGAGCTGTTGTGCCTCGTTACTAACACATGAATTCAGCAACACTTCTCACGCACCGTTAACAAAACACCGTTTTATCATCGCGACATGAGCCAAATCAAAGAAAATGGAGTCGCGTCTACCTCCAAGAACAATGCTGAAAATCCAAAGGTGCGCTTTAAACAATTGTACAAGAAAGCATTGGGCCTGGGCCTCTCTGAAGAAGATTTTAACAAAATTGATGCCATTAAGGAGATACGGAAAGCAATTCAAACAGATGATGTTCTTTCGCGAATATGGAATATTGTTTGGAAATGTTGTCTATTGGTTCTTTCTATTACGTCATTAATCGTTGCAGTTGCAGTTTTTGTTTTTGTCTTCCAATGGCCAATTGAAAATAAAACTTTATTCAAAGTTTGGTTTGCATTAACTGGGGAAGAAGCCGGCTCTGAACGTTCAGAAATATGTGCTGTGAATGCCATTGACTACATGGCCGAGATGTTTAGACCTCCGACGTCATGTGATTTTTGTCGTAATGTGTCGTCTGTCGAAAAATTGGAGCATGTGTCTCAAGACTTATTTGAAAAAGTGTATGCATATAGTTCGGTACCAGTTGTAATCACCGACGGTACCAAAAATTGGACTGCTTCCAAAGTATTTTCGTACAACTTTTTCAAGTCTTTATATTCAAGTGGCAGTCCTGCTTTGCAGAATGTTGAAGAAAATTGTCAATTCTTTCCGTACAAAACGAATTTTTCAACCTTGGAAGAAGTGTTCGAAATGAATGAAGACAGAGCTCTGATGAAGGACGGATCTGCCCCTTGGTATATAGGATGGTAAAATTGTTTTATTAATTACTTTATCCTTTGTTCTGGTCTATTGTAATGTACTACATTATGTAAAGTGAACTAGCATTTGCCATCAGAATTTAAGTGCACGTAGGATTTCAGATTAAAAAAATATAAATTTTAAAATGGGAATCATTACATCTGTCGCGGTTACTTGTGACTCTGCATTTTAAATTTTGAATTTTTGAGAATTCTTCGTTTAATTAGTAATTACTTTTGCAGCAGACATTTTAGAAAACTGGGGAGGAGTGTGTCTCTGATTTATAAGCCATTTCATAAAAAAGATCTTTTTTTTGGAAAGATTAGCACCCCCTCCCAAAAAAGATAAATTAGCAAAGCGATATGATGTAAAGAAAATTTGAAACGATAATCCAGGTTTTTCAAACCCATCTTTCTTTACTTCATTTTAAAGAAATGTTTTGCTAGATGCTTTGTTTTGGTTGTAAAGACCTTTGCATGGTGATTTCAGGAGTAACTGTGATCTGTCGGCCGCCAACACTTTGAGAGGACACTACAGCCGGCCATACTTCCTCCCCCAGGTCGCTGAATCCAGCAAGACGGATTGGATATTTATGGGCAGTCCTGGATATGGAGCAGACTTGCATGTAAGTGTAAAACTGAACGTGCATGTAGTACATGTACTAGTAACTATGGTATAATGTTAATAGCAATTAAGCAATAACAACTCGAAATCTTAGTAAGAATGGAGACGACTATACTTATTAAAGTCTCTGTGAGTTCAAATTTTTAAACGGTGAATAAGAAATATACCCCCATCCCCGGCCCCTTTCCTTCGAAAAAATCAAATTATCCATTCAAATACATAATATTCTACACAATCATATAAATGCAACAGGTTGAAGTGGTCTAAAATACACTTGCAAAATGATATGCTTCAGTAGGGAGACATCTGGATTCTGTGTTGGGTTCGAAACTTCGATTTTTATCTTTCAAATGAAAACGTGTATGACTAAATTCAGTGAATGTACGTATCAAATTGTCGATTTTTATTGAAACAGAAAACGAGAATAGGTCTGAACATTTTTTTTATCAGTAGTCCAGTGTTTGCAGTACT